AGGGGACGTGTTGGTGGGGTGGGGGGGGACAGGGGTCAGACTGGTGGGGGCATTGGCCCAGGGGTGGAGATGGCAGCCGCACTGTGGCTAGACAGGCGGCACAATAGCTGGCCCCGCCGTGACCAATGGAATTCAGGTGAAGATGGAATTCGTGTTTGGCTTCGTTTCGTATCTTGTTTGGTTGTTTTTTCGCCAGCTCACCACGTGTGTCTCCACCGTGGCTGTATCTGCCCATCCCGTGGGTCGGGTGGGCCCACGCATGTGCTGCGTGCGGTTGTGTTCATCGCAGCAATTTGAGAACACTCATCGCAAGCAATTTAAGAACATTGTGCTATGCGTTATCATCATCATCGTTATCGGCGATGATCAGTCCGCTGCTAGATAAGCGCCTTGCCAAGCCAAGGCTATCTCTCATGAGCCTGCGATGCAGTAATCCAACTAGCGCCTGCACGCAAACTGATTTAATCGCTCCATCTCCACAGCTGACATCCTCTAGGGACGCGTTTCACTCTCGACCCTTCTCGCTAAATGCCCTGTCCAAACCCACAAACTGTTTTAACCGTCAAAACGATGCATTTAATCGGTATGTTTGACCTACTAATTACGATACTGCCACTGATTCACCCACGGAAGCCTCACGGAGTCTTAAAAATATTTGTTTTCAGGATGGTCGAATATTATTGGGATGTTTGGCCAGCTGATGAAAAATGTTGGCTTTCGATCGCCATCCAGACGCCGCACAATGGCAGTTGTCCACCAACAGGCTATGATCAACTTATGAGTGTCAAGAATTCAAATCTGGTCCAAGTCTGTCATGTTTCTCAAATGTGCCACGGTGGCGAGATGTTAACTACCTCGCCTGGTTTACAGGAGGTCGTGGGTTCGATCCTGACCCTGATGCCTGAATATTTGGAGTTTGCATGTCTCTCTCCCCGTGGTCGCATGTATTGTTCTCCAGGTCTATGCGTTATCATAGACCCTCCACATTTAGAAACACGCGTTTAGAGTATTTGGCTGCTATCAATATCCACATGATAAGCCACTTCGTTGAGCTATCATTTGTGGCCAGGTCGCTTCTGAAAATGACCTACATAGCTCAGTGGGCCTTACCTGGTGAAATAAAAAAATGTAGTTTAGTTTAATAGTGTACATATAAATGGAACACAGGGTTGATCCATTTATAGATACAACACTGGTCTATCATGACTCTTCATTTACTTTCTTCTCAACAGGTGATTGAGTGTTGTGACGGAGACGGCTCTGACTCTCACAGGGGAGACTGTTGATAGATTTAAGGAGTGCATTGAGATTGGTGCGAGACGGGTAGAGGCTTCGGAATAAAACGAAGTTTTCGCTTCAAATTCTGCACAGTATGGAGTGGGGTGTCTATAAATGGATCTACATGTTTCACCATAATCGTCAGCAGAAAGGTTAAGAATAATGATATAATTTAATATTAATGCTATGTTTGTTAATAAGTTTATGTTTTTCTTTTACCATTTTTGCAGTACCAAAAAAAACATGTCAGTTCATTCGCAATGACAATTGCCAAGGATTGGGCCTGGCCTGACATTCAGCCTTGCTGTATCGGTTCAATGACAATAATAGTGGCATAAAACTACCACGTGGCCAAACCCAAAATCAATTACAGCTCGGTCCAAGAGTAGTAAGCCGGCGTCAAAACAAATGGCTGTGGAAGTATTCAATGGTCTAGAAGGCTGCTACTCAGGGCTGTGGAAGATATTTGCTGCCTTTATTGTTATTTGTTGTGACTCGTGATGAACGCCCTTGCCTGCGTCGGCTGCGTCTCGCCTCTCTCACATTGCCACCACGCGTGTGAACATCGCTACTGCATTCTAGATTTGAAGCTTTCGTGACTGCAAGGATTCATGCTCTTTGTTTTTTCCGGTAAAGTCACGTAGGTAAACAATTAAATTAAATAAATGAAAAACAACTAAATTAAATCACGACGTTTCGGGCACAATACAAGTTCAAGTTAATTTATTAGATATAGCCCTGTGAGCCATTCGGCTCTTGAATCGGATGCAACCGCAACAAACAAAAAACAAAAACATGAACAAGAAAACATCTTAAAGTGACTATATGACTAAATGCAAACAGAAAATCCAAGAAAAGACAGCAAAATATTGCAGAAAAAACACCGTACACCAACGCTGTGTGCAAAAATCCCAGTGGGATGCAAGTCAAACAACAACAATAACCACAAGCGTCCTTCTTCATGTGACACACTTAAGCGGTTGTGCTTTCGCTACGTTGTCCCCACTTGAAGAAGGACGCTTGTGTTGCGCCCGAAACGTCGTGATTTAATTTAGTTGTTTTTCATTTATAAAAAAATGTTTTACCTACGTGACTTTTTGCCGACAAAAACAAAGAGTATTGCTACTGCAGTTGAAGTGTTGCACAAAACTCGTCGTCGAGTCCACGGCGAGCTCATGGACGAGGTCACAAACACTACGTCCTTGCTCAAATACGCGTCGAGGCATTTGGCTTCTTATCTCCCATAATAGAGGTTTTATTTTTGGGTTAAATGTGTCGTTAAACCCGACACCACCAGACACAGCCAATTAGTAAGGTTTGTCACGTCAACAGAATATGCCAATTCGTTACCAGTACAGCAACACCGGTGTATTAGAGAGCCAAGCACAACGTTTACAATCTGAGTACGACGTTTTTCCAGTAATTACAGATAGCTTCATCAGGCGGACAGCCAGATTTGTGGAATGTTGTGGAGTCCGTGGATAAGACGACCTCTGCTGACCACTCGTTCGTGGAAACTCAATCTCGTCGACATTGGAGGGCCTTGAGTTAACCAACAACAACAACCAGGACTTGAACTCGTAATCTTCCAATTAAAAGTCGCTCGCTCCAACGCAGAAGCACATCGCATGGCATTAAAATATATATATTACTGGTAGGAACCTCCTGGTTACACCAGCCCACAGGGGATTATTGTGTCCGTCCGTCGTTAATCCAAAAATGGGAGGGGTGGGGCTGGGTGGAGAGGGGAGGGTGGGGAGGGGCTGGGTGGGGAGGGGCTGGGTGGGGCTGGGTGGGAGGGGTGGGGCTGGGTGGTGAGTGGCTGGTCACCCCGTGGTGCCCTTATAAAACTCAACGTTTAACCTACTCACGCCGGCTTGTGCCTGCCCTCACAGTCGGGCATATTTGCGGAATACACCACGCCGCCGTTGACCCTGGCCATTGACCGAGCAACCCAACGTTCCTACCAGCTCCCTCCGCAGGAATGTGTTTATACTTACACTGTGAATAGTGGCACACTGCAGTGAGCCTGTGCATAGTAACACTGTCAATAGTGACGCTGTAAAGTGACATTGTACATTCACCGCCACGTAGGCAGTAGGGGGCGCCAGAAATACGTGTGTCTGTGATGTCTGTGATGTCTATGATGTGCCAGCGATTGTTCAGTGACATGCCAGTGATGTGTCAGCAATGTGTCTGTGATGGGTACATTATGTGCCAGTGATCTGCTGGTGATATTCCAGTAATTTTCTAATGATGTGCCAGTAATGTGCCATTGATCTGCGAGTGCTCTTTCAGTGATGTGCCAGTGATGTGCCAGTAATATGCTCCTGAGCTGCTAATGATCTGCCAACGATGTGCTAGTCGTGTGCCAATGATGTGCCAGTGATGTGCCAATGATGTGCCAGTGATGTGCCAATGATGTGCCAGTGATGTGCCAATGGTGTGCCAGTGATGTGCCAATGATGTGCCAGTGATGTGCCAATGATGTGCCAGTGATGTGCCAATGATGTGCCAGTGATGTGCCAATGGTGTGCCAGTGATGTGCCAATGATGTGCCAGTGATGTGCCAATGGTGTGCCAGTGATGTGCCAATGATGTGCCAGTGATGTGCCAATGATGTGCCAGTGATGTGCCAATGGTGTGCCAGTGATGTGCCAATGATGTGCCAGTGATGTGCCAATGATGTGCCAGTGATGTGCCAATGATGTGCCAGTGATGTGCCAATGTCAGCCACGTCAGCTCCGCCCACTCGTGCAAGCCCCGCCTACTTTTACATAAATACGCCCACTAAATTATAGCACTGTACACCACTACTGTACGATGTACCTTGTGGAAATTAACATGTCGATGAAATTAACATGATGTTCATCTACCGTAGGATTAAATATGTTAATGTAATACAGTATAACAAATTGAGATTATATACTGTAGCAGCTGGATAACATGCAGCATACAAATGTAAATTTCAACGTGATCCCAATACTTGAGACAATAATATTAAAATAAAATATTAAAATAATATTAACTAATATGCTCAACGGAAACTACAATGATGATGGTGTTTAACTTAAAAAAATTGCAATCACAATAATTTCTGCACGAGAAGTATATATTTTAATCAGGCACTTCAGCCAGCTTTGCGGACAGCCCCGCGGCAGTGGCTGTGGGGGTGGGGCGAGAGAAGCGTGAACCGGGGGTCCTACGCCCCCAGCGCGACCTCCAACTTACAATTCCCAACACGTATCAGCAAATGCGGCTCTCCCATTGGTGCGAGCGGACGGCACGCGGCGACCAGCGGACCAATCGCGTCGAGGAACCGGGCCGCTCCGCGCCTATGCGTGGTGGGAATTGTGGTTCAGTGTTGAAGGCCCAAGGGACAGGTGGAGGAGGAGGGAGGGAGGACGCGGGGAGATCGACGCTGGGCACGGGGAGATCGACACGGAGAGATCGACACGGGGAGATCGACACGGGGAGAGTGGCAAGGGGAGATCGACACGGGGAGAGTGGCAAGGGGAGATCGACACGGGGAGATCGACACGGGGAGAGTGGCACGGGGAGATCGACACGGGGAGAGTGGCACGGGGAGATCGACACGGGGAGATCGACACGGGGAGATCGACACGGGGAGATCGACACGGGGAGATCGACACGGGGAGATCGACACGGGGAGATCGACACGGGGAGATCGACACGGGGAGATCGACACGGGGAGATCGACACGGGGAGATCGACACGGGGAGAGTGGCACGGGGAGATCGACACGGGGAGATCGACACGAGGAGATCGACACGGGGAGAGCGACACGGGGAGATCGACACGGGGAGAGCGACACGAGGAGATCGACACGGGGAGATCGACACGGGGAGATCGACACGTGGAGAGCGACACGGGGAGAGCGACACGGGGAGAGCGACACGAGGAGATCGACACGAGGAGATCGACACGGGGAGAGTGACACGGGGAGATCGACGCTAGGCACGTGGAGATCGACGCCGGGCACGGGAACGCTTGCAAAGAGATCATGGTGAGAGCAGTCAGTCAGTCAGTAGCTGCAGCAGTAGCAGCAGCAGCAGGGTTAGACTGGCAGCTGTCTCCCTCCGTGTGAGTGTCGGGGTGCGTGTGTGTGTGTAGGTGCAGCGATGAATGTATTGGGGTGGTGGGGGGATAGCGTAGATCAATGAATGGCCGTGTGTGGCGTGTGTTGATGTATGGTGATAATCGTGATATGTTGAGGGGTGTGGATGTGTTGGGGTGCGTGTAGGTCAATGTCTGGGCGATGTGAAGTTGCGTGGCGTAGCGGAGTCGTTATATGAGGGACTGTCGAGGTGACGATGAATGGGGGATGTGTGTGTGAAGGTGAAAGTAGGGGGCAATGTTTGACAGTGGAGGTCAATGTATGGGTGTGTCTGTGTGTGTGTCGGTGTATGTGTGTGTGTGTCAATGTACGGGCATCTGTGTAGGGGTGTGTGTGGATGTGTCGGTCAATGTATGGGGGTACGTCAATTTTTGTAGCCGTGTCGGAGTCAATGTATGAGGAGTATTGTGAAGGGAGATTTGGGGTTGTGTATGAGTGAAAGTGAATGGGGTGTGTGTGAAATGTGTAAGTATGGGGGAATGTGTGATTTGCGTAGGTCAGTGTTATGGATGTGTGTGTTATTGCACGAGGTTCATCTGCAGCAAAATAGGAGTGTGTTTAAGTAATTGTATGGGCATGTATGTGTGTAGCTATGCAGAGGTGTAGGTGTGTAATTCGACAAGTGAATGGGGATGTGTATGTAGGTCCACGTGCATTAGGCGTGCAATGCGGCGGGGGGGGGGGGGTGTTGGAAGTTCCGGCCTGAATAGATCCCTGCCATCAGCACTTGGCCCAACATCATGTGTGAGTGGGGGTGTGTTTTAGGTGCAAGGGTGTGTGTGGGTGTGTGTAAATATATGTAAGTCATTGGCTGCCTGGAAGTGTATTTCTATGATTCTAGATTTGAAGCTTTCGTGACTGCAAAGATTCATATTCTTATTTTACTTTTATTAATTTTAATGTTTTACCTACGTGACTTTACCGATAAACCTAAGAATATGTATTTCTATGTTTAGCTCTTTATATATACATGTAATGCCTGTTCTGTACATGAATGTATATATGTATTATATGAGTGGCATTGCCCGTGTTCAGCTCATGTGTTTAACTTAGCGGCCACTGCACGTCCGCGTGGTTGTGCAGTGTCATTCGACTCGCTGTGTGCACCTTGAGTGACGGTGCCAGCGTGTGCCGGCGTGTGCGTGATGACTGCAACGTTGATTTTTGTTGCGCTTAACTTTCTATCTCAAAATCCTTGTGTACAGGTGCCAACACCCAAATACAAAACACTCCTTTGTGTGGGATGCAACATCTCATTGCTTGAAAATAGATTTAGCTGTTTCCATTCTAGATTTGAAGCTTTCGTGACTGCAAGGATTCATACTCTTAGTTCTTTCGGTAAAGTTACCTACCTGACTTTACCGAAAGAACTAAGAGTATTTAGCTGTTTCCAGTTTAAAAACAACAGACTTATACTCTTGAAATGGGGTGGATTGGTCGCACAGTCATTGGTGCACTTTGCTATGAATCCGGTGACCCAGGTTCGATTCCCATCTTACACTTTCCGCACCTCCGATCAGCACGGTTGGCTGTGCACGCTGCGAAAGAAGTCCAACATGAATGCATACACACACATGTAACATTGGTGGTGAGTGATGTCGGAGCCGGTCCAGTCCTCCCCCTCTTCACCGGCCCGCATGGTGAAGTAAGAGTCAAAAGGCCTCCACGGCCGACATGGCATAGCGAGGCCTTCTTCAACCATTTGGTGGATTGGAAATGGAGACAATTTATTTTACTCTTATTCTTAGGCTCAGTCCTTTGTTATGCAGTCTATTCTTAGTCTTAAGCCTCACCTTACCATATTAATAAAAAGTGTGCCGTTCCTGGCCCTTCCCCCCTCAAGCATTATATATACGGGGTGGTATTTCTTGTGATCTCTCATTTACTTGATACAGCTGTCGTGGCTGTGACGGTTCCACCTGAAGACGGAGACTTGTGTTGCTTCCGAAACGTCGTGATTTTTTATTTTGTTTTATTTTACTTTTATTAATTTAAAATTTTTACCTACCTGACTTTACCGAAGAAACCTAAGAATATGAATCCTTGCAGTCACGAAAGCTTCAAATCTAGAATTTATTTTACTCTGAACATTTTTATGCGACCGCATTGTTAGTGGTGTACAAACGCGTCGAACTAAAACTGACCACGTTTGCCGTTTATGCGAATTAACACGGCCTTATAACCAAATATATCAATGTGGATAGCATTTTGGGCAATGTTTCTCTGCAGAAGGGTAATTGCCTATAATTATTATCTTTTAAGAATAATATTGGAGGAACATTTATATATGTGTTCACAAAAGATTTATAGTAATATGTAATCGGTGAAAAATATTGTCTTTATTGATCCTGGTTCCAAAGAGCTCCTGTTTAAAATTCCAGGTCTGCTTTGCAAAATACACATGGTGTCTTTTGCTGGGCTGTCCCCTTTGATCGTGTGTGGTTGGGCGCTTTCAATAGGTTCTCACTAACAAACACTTACTCTGATACGTAGGCCAGTATCACGTGACGATGCTGATCGCATTGTACACGTGCCTGGTTGACCAAAGCGTAAAATTGTGATGTAACTTTCACACCTTCAACAGTCACGTGTAATTGATCGAAACTATTCCTTCTCGTTTATTATTGATACAAAAAAATTAGCCCCCAATTTACCTGTCAAAGAGTAGGCTGTGAAGTCTTCACAGAAACTTTGTAAACGTCAAGAGGGAGAAGGTTAAGAAACACCCTCGCTGAATCTCCTAACATTTTGCTGAAACTGCAGATTGTAATCACGCCCCTGGAAGCCCGTATACAGGTTTTGTTTCCATAGTTGTGTTTTTGGAAGGGCGAAGGTAAAAGTCACCGTTGTTAGATGTGTTTCTGAGTTTGTATGTTGCGGGCGAGATCCTGTGGCAGGGCGAGTTGAACTGGCTCACGCTGGTCTCAGAGGGGAGTGGGATTTTCTTGTTTTTTGTGACATAATAGTACAGCGTTAGTGAGGAGATCGTCTACAGGTTGTAGGGGGCACAGTGAATCGTGCGCTACGGCAAACCGAGTTCGGTTCCCGGCCATGGATGGCACCAGCGACGATTGGTGTCTGAACCTATCCTGAGCCTACCCTAGGTCAACTGAGCCTCAAATGAGTGCCTGTGCTGTGTATTAACATCAGCACGTGGGGAGACAATGTTGGTGGGACATGGTGCTAGACACACTATCTCCTCGTGTGCTGTGCGCAGACCTTAACAAGTGCTCCTCAAAACAGCGCTTGCCCGAGCCAATCAGTATGGCTAAACCAAGGAATCTGTGCGCGTGCCTGTGTGTGGTGCAGGGTGTGATAGGTGTGCAGCTCGTGTTGAGCATGGTGGTGGCAAGCCTCCTGCAAAAGTTCTCCCCCCACTTCTCATTCGCCCGATGGTTGCTCTGCAATGGCAGGTGAGAATCGCCGACCGCCTTCCCCATCCTCCCTTCCCACCCCCCCCCCCCCCCCCCCGTGGCCCATCCTCTTCGCTTTCTCAAAACTCTTGCCGCAGTAATGAGAGAACCGCCCACCTCCGAAGTCAAAGCGACACGCGTAGGCAACGCTTTTACCGCGAGGAAAGTTGGAGCGGACTCAAGCAGGATGCACCCGGCAGGAAAATAAACCGAGGGGCGGCATCCACACATTTTGCAACGCTCGTGAAGCGAGATGCATTGGCGTTGCCGCACGAGACCAGAGGTCATTGAGAAGCTCCTTGAGCCAGGCCAGCAGTGGATTGAGAATGGCTACAAGAGGTGAAGATGCTCGATGGGTGCTGGGCAAATGTGGCCCCCCCAATGTTCGCTTTGCTCACGCTTGCAGATTCCAGGCAAGAAGTTGGCAGCTGTGGTGAGCGGCACAAACTGTCAGCAGACGCATGCCACCAGGTGCTGGTTATGCAGCGCTCATGAGGAGGACCCCGTAAAAATCCTCGGAAGTTCCTGCGGTGGCTGCTCGTTTTTGAAAGGAAAAATAAATTGTCCGCCCATTTTCGTCACGGTCGTTAACGCGGCTATGTAATCTGCAGCAGCGCTTGTGTGTGCGTCTTCGTAGTTGCTTTGCTGAATATTAAACATCGTTTTTGGGGTGTCGGTGTTGGCCGTCGCGTATTTTTTGTTGTTTTGTGCTGGCGTGTAATGAACTTCGATTTGTCGTCCATCGAACTCCTGTTCTCGTGCACCCACGCATTCAATGTGAGAGATCCACAAAAAGTAGCAAACCCTATATGGTGCGTACAGAATCACACCCGGCTCATGTTTGGCCTGGTACACGATCTCTAGCTTCTCACGTGCTCATCATCAACTGTAATAGAAGAGTAGCGAGTAGTGGTAGGGTGCCACTCAATTTCAGTTTTCCTGGAATCGCACCCATGCACTTTGTTACGTTTGCTGCTACGCTCGAAAATGTAATTCAAATTTGATAATATTTACAGGTTTGCTCAGGGATCTCCTCCACATCTTATCTGCATCTATGCCTATACCATCACTACGTATTGACTGGAATTCATGTTCAAACTCTTTTGTGTGTCCAGCAAATATTGAGATATTGCATTTAAACTCACAGTGCTAAATCCAGGAGGCGTAACCTTGAATAATAGCAAACTTGAATTTCGAGTGGCACCCTCGTCGGTAGCTTGTTTAAAAGTAATGTTATTACTCTGTGTGCCCCTGTTGCCAAATCAAGCTGAATGTGATCAATATAATCAGGATCTCTGAAACCAAGAGGGGTTGAGCCTGGATGTTGTGCTTGGATGAGTGACCACCACGCACAGCAAGTTGATGTCAGCTGCTGCAGGGCTAACATGGTGGGCAGCAGAGAGCAGTGCCACGACATCTGTTGTTGCACTGAACTTTCTATGCTTCCTCCCTTGCTAACTCGCACTCACCAGCATGGTAAAGTATGGTCAAACGACCCGCACAGCTTGCATGGTGTGGGTAGGCCCTCAGCCAACAGTGGAGTGACAAATTGGACATGCGCACGTGTACATGTATTGTATGTACGTGCTGTGGGTGTCCTGCTATTACAACTGTTCCATTCCTTCTTGCACACACACACACACACGTGTGTACACACGTGCAGCCTGGTGCGTTACCGACACCCTTCAGACGAGGAGCTGATGAATTTGGCCGGAAAGCAGGTGCCCAAGGGAAAGTTCAAGAAGGACAGGTACGGAGAGAGTGTTTGTGCGTGCGTGGGATTTTGTGTGGGTTTGTGGGAAGTGGCAGTGTAGTGTTCAACGCTCTACGCTATGAACCCGGCGACCCGGGTTCCATTCCCCCAGTGATGATTATCTGAACCGGTCCTGGGCCTTCCCCTAGGTCGACTCAGTACCTGATGCGGTGTGTAGAGAGCCGGCCCAGCCACTAAGCGACCCTTGCAATTGCAAAGGGCCCCGTGGCCTGCAGAGGGCCCCCTAGTGTCACTGCTTGCTAGTGGGTGAAAAAAATCATACATCAAAGGGGCCTCCAACCAAATTTTGCTTAGGGCCCCCAAAGGTCTAGGGCCGGTTCTGGGTGTGTAAGCATCGCCACTGGGTGGACAAGGGCAGCTGGGCGTGGTGCTGGCCACCCACCCCCTCGTGTGCCGTGCTGCCCTTCGTAGGTGCTAATCGTTAACAGCACTTGCCCCAACAGTCTGTTCACGCTATTAGCGGGATGGGGGGGGAAATCGTTATCTTTGTGAATTTGTTACTGCAACCCATTGGATGGATTCTTCTATCCAATATACCTCTGGTGGCTTAGGATCTTGTGCTTCTGTGCCAGGTCAAGACAATGCCCCATTTTTCTAATGTCTTTTTTTCTCATATATCTCGTTTGTGTGCATCCTCACTCCCTGTGGTGCACAATGGTGTGTTCGGCATCTTGTGATGCTCTCAAATTCGGATTGGGGCCAGAGAACCTCTTTCCTTATGGTAGGCTCAATGGGACTTTCAGATGATCCGATAACGGCACGAATAGTAACGTCTCTGTCGGCCCCTTGCAGCGACGGAAGAGACTGAGCGTGCTTCACTTAAAAACCCGGTTTCATTGGAAGGAGAAAAATATATCCCACTAGTACCCAATTAGTGCAGATAAGATGCAAACGTTCAGAGGTGATAAGCCTTATGTGGTCACTGACCATCTGAAATGAAATCTCATAGGGCCTAGGTTCCCCAACTCTGCCATGAGGCTAAACGTGGGACATTTGTTTAGTGTGTGCTTGTCTGTATATATGTGTGTGTGTATCTTCTTGGTTCTTTCGGTAAAGTCACGTAGAAGGGAAGTAATAAAAGAATAAAAATAAAACATAATAAAAATAATTCTCACAACGTTTCGGCCACAACGCAAGCAGCCGTCCTCAGATTCATCATTCAGACGCTGTCTCCCCGACAGACCTGGTCTTCACCTGAGGACGGCTGCTTGCGTTGTGGCCGAAACGTCGTGAGAATTATTTTATTATGTTTTATTTTTATTATTTTATTACTTCCCTTCTACGTGACTTTACCGAAAGAACCAAGTAGATGAATCTCTGCAGTCACGAAAGCTTTAAATCGAAAAGTGTGTGTGTATGTTTACACCTCACAGCCACAATGACGAATCGTGGCTGTTGATGTTGTGCATTTTCCACAACACCCCGTCAGAGTAAACAGGAGATGTTTGTCTTGTGTGTGTATGCCGCGTGTTGCTGTGTGTGTTTACACACGCGCAGGAAGGAGAATGGGACTGCCGGGAAACCAGCAACGGTGCCCAAGGACATTGAGCTGCAGCTGGAAACGAAACCCGTGTCTCCTATGGACGCACTGGGTGAGACCAAATAAACACAAATGTTCTCCGTGCAGCCATGCAGACTCAAGGGACACGTGCTGTGAGCAAGCACCTGTTAAAGTCAACCGTAAGGGGAGCGTGTGTGTGGCCAGGTTCACATCTGGAAAACTCGCACACTGCACCAGGTGCTCATTGTTGAGGTCCGGTTGCCCGGGCCAAGTTAAAGCTACCCCCTTGCCGCTCATGCTGTACACCGCCAGACGTTTTAACGCGGGTTGCCATGATTATTGCACACACGCGCACACGCAGGCAGATATCGCTCTTAGCTGATGTTAGTCATGACCGAGATTGTAATGGGTGTGCTCACCACCGTGTTCTAACCACTGGTCCCCATACACACACATTATACAAATTATTGTTCATTAGCCATTTAACAGGCTGGTGGAGCAAGATCTGTTTTTTTCGTGAGTATCTATTGAATCTGGCACGGTGCTAGCAACATTCCTGGCTGTGCACGTACTTGCACATGTACTAACACACCCACACGTACTCACATACTCACGTACTCGCACACCCACACGTATTCACACACCCACACATACTCACACACATGTACTCACACAGCCACACGTACTCACACACCCACGTATTCGCACCAACTGACCCAGTGTGAGTGAAGAAAGAAGAGTGCATCTAACTAAACACTCCGTCTCCCCTCACCGCCTGCCACTCTGTTCCCCCGTTCAGTGCTGCACTACTACTCCGAGTACCAGTGGCTGCTGGACTTCGCGGTGCACGCGACCCTTGTCTACGTGCTCACCGAGGCCTACTACACAGTCGCCGCACCGGCCGGCGAGCTCAACCTGGGCCTGGTCTGGTGTCTGCTCAGCCTCGCGTTCTGCCTGTATCCCCACCTACGGCCGACGGCCTCTGCACTGCGGTGGAGTCTTTACGACCGGGATGAGAATTTGGAATCGAGGAGTTCACAGGCTTGGATACTTTATGAAAACGATGGACCGCACCAGAAAATAATCTGCAGCAAGAGAGTAATGGGGAGGGAGACGGATCCCGTGGTGTTAGCAGGGTTGAAAGATGTCGAGTGCAGGAGGTCGGGCGATTATAGATGTTTTGGTCTTGTGTCGTGGGGATCGCGGGGTCGCAGTTGACGCCACGGTGGTGAGATGTTAACTACCTCGCCTGGTATACAGGAAGCCGTGGGTTCGCTCCCGATCCTAACGCCTGTACATTTGGAGTTTGCATGTTCTGCTTGTGGTTCGTGGATTTTTCCCCGGGTCCTCCGGTTTTCCCTCCACATTTAGATTCAACGTACGTTTCGAGTATTTGGCTGCTATAAATTTCCACACGATAAGCCACTTCGTTGAGCTATCACTTATTGCCAGGTCACTTCTGAAAAAATGTACCCGTAAAAACAAAGTTTTTGACTATAAATCCTTTATATGCGTGGTGGCTAGAGTCCTCTCGTCCTCTGGCTTGAGATGGCTGCCACCTATGGGTCAGATGATTGCCTGCCACCATTAAGCAATTGGTAATTAAATATAATTAATTTTTTCCTAAAAAGTGTAAAATTTTGGAAAAAAAATTTCACGAAAATAAATTGTCACTTACAACGAGTCTGTGTGCAAAATGTCAGCTCGATTGGATCACGGGAAGTGGGTTAAAAAACGACCGAAAGATTTGCACGGTCGTAAGCGCGCAAGCAAGCAAGTGAACTTAATATAAAGGATTTTAAAGAGAGCTGTACGGCTCAGTGGGCCTCACCTGGTAAAATAAAAATGTATTTAATAGTTTTATTTGTAGTTCTTGCGTCTTCCTTGACGGTGGGGGCGGCAGGAAGGTGCTCTTCTCGCTGACGGGGCAGTACTTCGGGGCGGAGGGCGGTGGCGAGCGATCGCTGTGCGTCACCTTCGGATTCTTCTTCTTCGTCAAGGCCATGGGCACGCTGATCGTCAGCGAGCGCTTCCTGGAGTTTGGGCTGGACGAAGGTACACACACGCACACACGCACACATACACACGCACACACACACGCATTCACAACGACAACTTTGACACGTGGTGGTGAGGTTACCACGGGGTTCGTGCTCGTTTAGGTATACCCGGAGGCCACCTAAAGTGTCGAAGGAGGTCACGGTAAGAGGCCCAGGTGTTATGTCCACTACCAACTTGCTGTATTTTAGCCCCCTGGCACTCTGCTCATTTCGAGTATTGCTCCTTGGCCTCCCATTGTTGGAGAACAGCTGCCGCCAACACTGCTTCAACGTCTTGCACGAGCTCCATCGACATGCTGATGTTGAAATTGGCCAATTATCCTGATGCAGAGGACCCTCTTTAAAAAGTCTTGAGACTTTCCACACGGATAATTAACGCGGACATTATGGCTATCGTTTCCACACCCAATCCTTGTTTGTCTGTTCACACTTTGCAAGAGGCCTCTGTGAGTGACGTCTTCTCCTCCTTGCAGGTTTCACAAACTTCTCGGAAAATGCCATTGGATTTCTGCATCAGCAGGGCCTGGAGTCAGCGTGAGTGGAAAAAAGGGACTTGTGACTTGTATGTCTGCATGTTGAACTTCTTTCGTGCCGTACGTAGCCAACCGTGCTAATCGGAGATGCGGGAGAAGGACACCAAACTAAACACAAAAAGCAATTCTAAAGAAATGAGTTTAATCTAAATGTAAAAGTGCGTAGCTTCGGTGGCTTCCTAGTATCAGAAGGGAGAGCATTCCAGACGGCCGCAGAAGCGAAGCGCATCTGAAAGTGGGCGATGCAGTAACCTTCTTTGTTCTGTGGCTAGACAAATCTTCTGCGAAGAAAACCGGAGTTTGTGTAATGTTCTGGGCCAAAACTCATTAATCAGTCTCCCCTTGTCTCGTCTGCCCTTCTGGCCTTGGGCCCTCGAAAGAAAAAAAAATTCAGTTCTCGTTCTTGACCTTGGCTTCAGGAAGGTCTTCGGTCCAGGGACTTTGAAGACTCGGAACCGTGATTCGAACTCGTCGGGTGTAATTTGCTAAAATAACAACCCGCCATACAAAACTTCTCAACGTTGATGGGATTGCTTAATTTATCTGCGAAAAAAAATATTGCTTTCTAAGAACTTTATTGTGGGGAGATTTCGTAGTTCTGTACTGCAACGTGAACTCTGCTCGCTGTCGTTAACGGCCCGGCCGAGAGCACCGAGGCCATGACTGGCCCTTGGCACTGGCTTCTACTTGAAAGGCTTTCAGTCTGAACCTCAGCCTTGCCCTCCTGGGTCCTGCCCTTCAACCCACACCACTCTCCACCCCCGCCCCTCCCATCCTGCTGCTCAGTGGACCCATTTCCAAGCTGACCTTCAAGGCGGTGCTGGCCGTGTTCTGCGCTGTGATTGGAGCGTTTCTCACCTTCCCCGGACTCCGATTGGCCAAGATGCACCTGGACGCGCTCACCCTCTACGCCCATAAGCCGTTCATGCAGTAAGGGTCTGGGGTTCGGCGGGGATATTGTGGAGTGAAGTCGTTTGAAAGCACGTGTGCATGTTTGTGTGTGTGTGCATGTGTGGAGGGGGAGCAATGTTGTATTGGTGAGTGCATTGTGCTACAAACTGGGAAATCTGGGTGAGATTCCTGTCCAGGTCTCTCATCTGTCTCTTGTTTATCTCTCTTTCATCTCAATAACGTTGGTTGCGTCTACATCCGTCTCGTTTCTCTTTTTTCATCTCACTAATGTGGAGCTGTACGTCTTGCTGGACCGTATTGCGGCGGTTCACTTCAAGAATCTTTGCAGGCCACATCTGGATTGTGGGCCACCTGTTGACGAACCCTGCCTCATGTATTGCCGCCTGCGTGTGTGCACATAGGGCCATGCTGCACCTGAACTTCCTGGCGCCGCTGCTGGTGGCATTGCTGTGGGTGAAGCCCATAGCGCGAGACTACCTCATGAATATGCCCATGGGCCGTGGACAGAGACTGCATCTGTGGGTACCCTCGCCACTCACGCTGTCAATACAACGATAGCACGGTCATAATTCTTCGTAGGCGGCACGTGCCGTGGACCCGGTGACTTGACACTCGCGTGACGCTCAACTGAACCTTGTCGGACGTTCACCCCCTTTGCCTAACGCTCGACACCCATCAATTCGTCGAACTCTCGCCACTCAAAACTCTTTCACTGCGAAACAAATGACAATCGGGCCAACGAAAACCGTCACGGCGAAGTCCATCCGTCTCTTTTGTGGCGGACGGCCATCGTGAGCCGGGCTGCAGCGCGAGGAGCCGGGCTCGTGTGACTGAGCTGGCGCTGTCGTGCAGTACAATAAAATCGGACACCCGATGAAATCGCCGATCAGAGCTCTGAAAGTAGGCGTGATGTTGCCCGAAGGGGCATGGCTTTGCCCGTATTTGGTATTGTGTGGATCACAAATCAAGGTTAATTGTATCCATTCTACCCAGTCGATCTGGAAACCAGCTCAAAGTCGATTGTAATTTGCGGGTTAACCACCGTGTTGATTCATTGCGAATCGATCCATGGATCGAGTTTTCCCCACTGGTTGTGACATGCCCCCTTTCTTTGAATTGGCTAATATTTGCATGATCGTTTCACATCGCCCATCTCTTAATTCCGCCAGGTTGACGCCCGAGGGCTTTGACTCCGTGCGTCTCTGGGCCGTCGTGCTGCTGTGTGTCCTGCGGTTGCTGCTCACGCGGTCACACCTGCAGGTACCGTGAGTGAAGTCCACCTTCGGAGCGTCTTCGAGATCACGTGGGCCGATTGACTGCGTCCTCCCCAATTTGGTCCGCCACGGTGGCGAGATATTAACTACCTCGCCTGGTATACAGGAAGGCGTGGGTTCAATCCCGACCCTGACGCCTGTATATCTGGAGTTTGCGTGTCTCTCTCCCCGTGTTCTCGTGGATTATTCTCCGGGTCCTCCGGTTTTTCCCCTCACATTTAGAATCAGCATGCATTTAGAGTATTTGGCTGCTGTCAATTTCTGCATGATAAGCTACGTCGTTGAGCTATCATCTGTGGCTAGGTCGCTTCTGAAAAATAACTATATAGGTTAGTGGGCCTTACCTAGTAAAATAAAAATAGTAAAAAATTTATTATTGGGCATGCCGAATAACGCACGGTACAACAATACCGTAAGCATTGCGTTGTTTTTATACAATTGGCTTGTGATTTTGTGGATTGTGGGATTTTTTAAAACTCATATCAGAAATATTTTTTTAAAACTTTAAATAACGTAAGCTGTAAATGTGCTTGATTTGGTCCTCATAAAAATATGGTTATTAATTATGGACATGGATATACCACGATAATGTGTCGTTTGCTTGATGGTGAACAACCAATATGGTCAAACAGCCCCGTGTGTAGAGGCCTTCATCCATAATTTTATTGTCAAAGGGCTCATGTTGAAAGCATTTTATGTTTTAATTTGCTGAGACTCATCTCACACTAGGCATATTTGATTATCACTTAAAACTTTAATGGAAACGTCTTGAAGAACAAATACAGCAATAAGGGCACTGATTAACAAAACTTGCAGTGGAGTGGCAATATAGATAGATACACAAGGGGACAAAATGGGATCGTATGTCAGAGCGATGAAATTTCATCACTTGAGCGGCTTTTCGTACGCAGCAGTGGATTGAGGCTGACACTGGTTGTGGTGGCTGTGTGCAGGCTTACCTTGACCTGGCGCGGGAGAGAGTGGACCGGATGAAGCGCGAGGCTGGCCGCATCGGGACGCGTGACCTGCAGAAGATGGTGCGTTAGCGAGCATCGCCCCCCTGATTAGGGGGTGGTGGAGCAGGGCGGGGGTGGGGGAGGCGGGGGGCAGGGGCAGCTTGGAGGAGGAGCCCTGATCATGAAGTCGTGAAGTATCATTCGCTTCAATCTGTCCTTGCTGTGAACTTGTCTAAGTGCTGATGATACTTTGTACTTTCCAAGCTATGATATTTGCCAGCATTTTACTGTTTTGCACAGAATATAAATTAAGCTATTCATTGTAATCTATTAACAGGCACGATGCAACACTCTTGTCAGTGACTCGGGGCGAGAAGGGAAAACGTGGAGTAGATGACGTCTCTGCAGCCGGCGATGCCATTGCCGAATCCTCGGCATAAACAAAGGGCCACTGGCCAAAACATCACCTGTGATATGTTTGTGTTCCTTTTAGGGCAGTGCCAAAGTATCATTAACTTCTTTTGCACAGTACGTAGCCAACCGTGCTAATTGGAGGTGCCATTGACGAATGCAGGTTTTTGTTAGTGGTGCTCGTGCACCGCCGCCAATTGCACTATCACAATTATAATTTTTATTTGACGGATATCGTGGATTGTTTCGGCCTGGATGAATCTGTTGTTTTAGTAACTAGTTCGTCACCCGTTGACAATAAGCCTGTGACAGATCCTAGGTTTGAGTACTGGCTGGTCAGCCAATACAACTGCCGTGACCATAAACAGACGGCCTATTTATAGGGAGTGTCGAGGCGTGTGCAACTCCGTTAACCAACAGCTGCCCGGTTGGGGAATCGGCCCCTTCTTAAAAGACAGGTGGAGCAGCGGAGCAGTTGTTCTTCCTCTCCACTATGAACTCTGCCACCAGAGTTCAATACCCGGCCATGGCTACTATCGGCGGCGAGTGATATCTCAACCAGTTCTTAAAAACCCACCCCCCCACAAACCCATCCCTTAAAATCCGCACTTGACGACAAGAGTTGGATAAGATTGTAAAGAAATTAGTTGATGCCCTTTCCCTGCAGCGGGATGTCTACGCGCGCGGTGCTGGCCATACCTCCGCCCTCGTGTGCTGCAACTTGCCTTGATGGAACAGCACTTGACTCAACGGTCAATAAGGACTACACGGGGGGGCGTGGGTTGCTTTTGTCCTGTTTGTGAACGCAGGTGGCGCGCGTGTTCTACTACCTGTGCGTCATAGCCCTGCAGTACCTGGCGCCACTCGTCCTCTTGCTGAATCTTGTCTTTCTGCTCAAGACCCTTGGTACGTGTGAGCACACACAGCGTATATAGACCTACTACTCTACTTGCTGTGCTGCCTTTTAGAGTTACCACCGCCCAGCTCTTCAGTTAAGTATCTTGTGCACGTGACCTCTTCCATCTGTGTGCGATCTACCAACCCTGCTTCAGGCATGCTTTTAATAGTCTGTGGTTCTAGACTCTCTGCAGTTCATGCCAGTGTGTCTTGAACATTTAAGTTTGATTGAACCATTGTCGTTGATTTAGCTAAGCAATGCCGCATTGAGATTCATGGATTATTTAAAAGGGAGACGTGGATAACTTGAGTTTCAAATTGGCCAGGAGATGGCGGTATAGCAAGGGGTTTGTTCGGCTGTACGTGTGGCGCTTAAGGGTGTGTGACCACATGGTATGTCTGGGTCTTGTCCTGGTATTCCAGTTTCCTCCCACACTGACCAAACATCCCAATACAGGACCGTCCTCAATGAAGTCTTGAATCTCACTGATACTTTCATGGGTAAATAGAAGCTATTATCATAACAATAAGACTTGTTATTTTGTTGTTGTTGAAATAATTCAGTTCGTGTTTAGTGATATACACGATATCCTTGGGTCTTTAACACCCTTTTCACTCACCGCGTCAGCCACACACCCATTCACCCACTCACCCACTCAACTCATCACCCACTCACCCACTCACCCACTCACCTCATCACCCACTCACCCACTCACCCACTCACCTCGTCACCCACTCACCCACTCACCCACTCACCTCGTCACCCACTCACCCACTCACCTCGTCAGCCACTCACCCACTCACCCCGTCAACCATACACCCACTCAACTCGTCAGTCACTCACCCACTCACCTCGTCAACCATACACCCACTCACCTCATCAGCCTCACACCCCCTCACCTCGTCACCCACACCCGTTATCATCATCCCCATTATCACGACAGGTAACATGGGCTGGACAATTGAATATCACTTTGAATTCAACATTGGCCTCAAACTTTTCTCGTGCACAGGTGGTCACTCCTGGGTAATTCTCCCGGAATCCTTCACTGCTGCCATCCCCGTGGGCCCCTCCTCCGTACCTGTGGCTGCACCGACCTCGCCGCCACCTCCCTTATCGTCATCGGCGGAGGCCCCGTCATCGGAGGGCTTGGCGGACGATGCCGGTGCGGCAGTCACCCAGGTGGCGGTGACGATGCAGAGTTTGCGTGCCGTGTTCGCAGCTCCGCTCTACCGGGGCATCCTCTCCTTCCTCACGTGGTGGACGTGCGCCTGCTGGTTCACCACCAGCCTCTTTGGACTCATGTACCACCAGTATCTGGTGACCGCGTGACCGGCCCCAACCGTTCCCCCCCTCCCACCCCCACACCTCCTCCAACCATATTTTGCCACCGCCGGGACGGTGGCGTCCGTATCAGCGTGCACAGTCTCGACTGCCTCGACTGTCCGGACCGGCTGCCTGTGGTGGACATCGAGCTCGTCGTTGTTGAAGTCTTCTGTCTGCTCGTAATGTCTCATTCTGCCGTTTGTCAGCTGTCGCAGAAGCCTTGCGTTGTTGTAAAATGGGTCGGCCACAATATTATCGCTCGGTTCTACGTGATTTTATTTTTCGTGTCGTCGCCCCTCCACCGCGGCTTGTTGCCCCCCCCCCCCCCCCTGTGTTTCCTGCTGATGCTTAACACGTAACGGACTAATGAAGAGCCAAGATGGGAATGTCACACGCGCGGTCCCCGTCGTGTGATTTCAGACGCGCTTTATCGCTCCGGAAAGCGTTCCGTAAGTGTGAACTGCAGCGGTGGTGGTGAAGAAGATGGCAGCGATATGCCTGGTATCGATCGGCACAAGCGCGGCACTTGAAGATGAACATGCGCTTGTCGATGCTGAGAACGATGATAACGCGTGTGCAGATTTTTCAGATTGCAAACGCGTGCGGTCATGTAGCCCCCTCCCATCAATGATCATACGGACTCGAAACCTTGGACGTGCCAGACACTGCAGGTTTTACTGCCGCTATTGGATGAGAGGACGGAAGAACTGATACACCGTTCCCATTCTCCCGTATAGTCCTCTCCTACACACAGTTGTCAAATGTGGAATGCTGTGAATTTGGGGGAAAACGTGTTTTTGTTCATTTCTGCAGCTGAAATGGCAAGATTTGAGTTGCATATTCACAGTGACAAACTTAAAGAAACATCCCTCCTTTTGCGCGAGTACGTGTGTTTATCAGTTCACGCCTATACCCGAGTGTTTCACTTTCACGTGCAAGGCTGTGTTGCTAAAATCAATGGGGCAGTGGTGATTAATTTTTGTATTTATTCTTGCTTACATTTCTGGTTTCACACTTTCAACCTTACTTTCGACTCGCGGTCTGATACCTAGGCACGTTCTCTCTTCATACGTTGCTTTGTTTCTGTGAACACACTTTTCAATACTATTGATTTTGGACTTTAAGAAAACTAGAAAAATTATTTTGACAACACCACCTTCATGCATCTACACACTTCAGTGCTGCATGTCTACCAATATTAAGCGTAACTCAAGATGAGTCTTACATTTCAACAGACATTCTACTTGCCTGTGAACGCTGTATCCACGAACATTTTCACGTCAACCACTCGCTTGATACATTGGATGAAGGAACTATGCCCGTGTCTTTTGATCGGCCGACCTGGAGAGTTCGTCATGTGCCAGTGAGTGAGGACACTTATAAGTTTTCCATCCCTGCCCTGGTCTGATGCATGAGCGTGTGTTCCTTCTGAACTTTGAGTGCTCGCACTGTGTTCGTAATTAATGAAGCAATATCGAGTCTATGCATGGCCAGTGTTGTGTGCGTTTGAATCAAGATCATTATTTCATTTGTTTTATTGTCCTTTTTGCTATCGCAGAGGTGAAGGTGTATTCAAAGGACTTTGTACGATCAGACACCGTCCTATTCCACAATAGTCAAGAGATCAATGTTACCATGTGGAGCAGGCTTTGCACTCGTGGTGTAAACATGTATCATTTAATCGATCATTATCGATTCCTAACCTCAACACGTTGCATTTTATTGCGTGCGTACGAATCTTACGTGTTTTTTTTGCTATTTGTATATTGGCTTATGGGGTTGACTGTCATCCTCATCGTCCACTCGAAGCACTGAATTAGCCACAATGTAAAAAAAGACTCCTCTTGAATTGAATCGCGGTGCATGTTCATCGACTCGCCAGGGTTGGGGGGTGAATAATTCCACCCCTCTTTTACTGTACACTAATGTCTCGATGTGACCGAGAGCAAGGAAGTTGTGTGCGAGGTGAGTTCCTGCGCTAAGAAATCTATTTTGCACGTTTGCTAATGCTCGAAAAACCATTCACTGTACCCGCGCGGGAGCCGTGGGGTTTGGGACGGCCACTTGTAAGATTTCCCAACGCTGTGTGGGGATTTTCGTGTGATGGGTCGCACTTGAATTGTGTCAGACACCACCCTGCGTCAAACACTTTCTGTTAAGGGTGGGGGGGGGACCCCGTCAAAGAAAGCAAAAATGTTCGCAAACATTCGGCGGATCTTTCCATCTCTCTCTCTCGAGTTGGTGGTCTCGACAAGGCTGAGAGCGTTGTACAACCAAATTGTGGCGGTGACATGGCATGTACACAAGGCGTGATTTGGAAGTCGTGCCTTTTTTCTGCGATGTTTTGCGGGCAAGATACACCTTTTGGCGTGGTGTCGACATTTCCCCGCCTGTGTTCCCTCGGCGCGGTAACGTGGAATGACGATTTTTAGGTGGCGCCGTTAAAGAATCGAAGGCGTTTGTCGGTGTTTGTGTTCGGCCGAAATTGCTTGTGACTGATTGAGCGATTTCCACCAATTTTGCACACTCGCGAAAACCGCACACTGCCAATGGATTGTACGAATGGTGTGTCTTTGAAGATGTCCACGAGCATTTTTGTTTTAAGTGTGTGTGTCAAGTGACATGATGATAATTGAGTTTAGTTTATTTGATGTTCATTTGCCTGCATGGTTTTTAAAATATATATTTGTTTTTGATTTCCTTTGGTGCCAAACATGACTTTTTTTCTGCCTACTTTGTTGTACGTCGTGTTTTCTAAACAACTCTACTTCATTTTAAATTGCACTTTGTGGCCTTTGAAGGAGAACGAATATATCCAGTCTATTTAATAGGTTACGTTTCATAGCACGTGAGCAGAGCGGCCAGAGAGAAAGATTTTACAAGAGTTGTCGACTGCACTTTCCACCATGGGGCCGTGGCGATAATTACATTTTTACATGTTTGCTGCTGACCGGGTTTCAATTAGGCGTATGAATAGTCAACTAACTAGCAGCTATGTGTATATTTTATTTTCTGCACAGTTTGTTATAGGGAGCCGCCGTGGTATAAACACATTCCTGCGGAGGGAGCTGGTAGGAACGTTGGGTTGCTCGGTCAATGGCCTGCAGGGTCAACGGCGGCGTGGTGTATTCCGCAAATATGCCCGACTGTGAGGGCGGGCACAAGCCGGCGGGAGTAGGTTAAACGTTGATTTTTATAAGGGCACCACGGGGTGACCAGCCCCTCCACACCCAGCCCCACCCCTCCCATCCCCAGCCCCACCCTCCCCACCCAGCCCCTTCCCACCCTCCCCACCCAGCCCCTCTCCCCACCCAGCCCCACCCCTCCCATTTCTGGATGCACGACGGACGGACGGACACAATAATCCCCTGTGGGCTGGTGTAACCAGGAGGTTCCTACCAATATGAGCAAACTGAACAGGCATTGCCAGAGCTCACCGAGTCGATCCCATCTCCAGGCGCGGCAATCAAAATCAGCCCCGCCACGCATCCACAGGCTGTCCACTCAGCACTATCAATGGATAACACCATGCAAGTTATTATATGGTGGGGAAAACTGTGGGTACTACCACCTCATCCTGCCAGTGTGTTGAGTTAACTTTGTTAGTGTGGAAGTGTAGGCCAAAAAGTAGCTCATAAAGGGGGGGGGGGGGGCTCTTGAGCTAAGTCTAATGAGAATACGCCCAAGAATTGGAATCAGAATATGTATTTATACTGGAAGAATGCGATTAGTTATAAAGCTCCTTTTCACAGATGTCCAGTGGGGGCACGGGGTCAGGATAATAAAGACACGGTATGAGTGCAAAGTATAGCAAAGGTCAGCAAATCAACTTAAACATATACATGCTAATAAAAACATTAACGACTAAAGCGATGCTTTATCCGGTCGAGCACGTGCTTGTTGAAACCAGCAGTGACCGATATGCAACACAATCACACCGAGCGCGATGACGTCATGACGCACGAGTAAGTCGGTGCCGTGACGCAACCACGCACGGGGAGTGACGTCATTACGCGGTGTTCCACGTGCCGATCACACGTGGAGTCGCGGAGCCCGGACCCCGGCCTTGTGGGGGGGGGCGTCTCTTACCAAGCTCTGCCGGGGACCTCGCACCGAACGCGGTAGGGGCGCTAGGTAAGACCGAGGCTCCACTGTTCGGTCTCGCTGTGGTCACTTTATACAAAACATCGCGTCTTTTGTTTGTTTTCGAGTGGGAATGTGTACGTGGTGCAAGAAAAGGACACGTTTGTATGCGTTGTGTGTCTTTGTGTTTCGGAAATAAAATAACAGACAAATGTAACTGCGATACAAGAGGCCACGTGAGGTTGTACAGTACACCGGCTTTAAGCAGAATAGGGTATCTCTCGCTGAATGAACTCGTCTCGTCGTTTAACTTTAATACAACGTTTGTAACCAGCTTCAAACCTGAAAAAAGATAATTCTGCGTAATCGAGCCTTAAATTTGAGAGAAAATGAATACATTTGCCTTGTGCAAGTGGTTGTATCGATAGTGCCACTGTACTCCCGTACTGTACTGTTTAACACTTTTAACTAAGCCGTTGTTTTAGACGGCAAATCAAAAAGTCAAACATTTCCATGTCCAATAGGAGTCCAAGAAGTTAGAGCGATTTTGAGCCAAGGGTGGAAGTTCCACATTCTCATGGCGGTGACCAGTACATCCCGGAATACGTGATAGTTGCAGTACTTAGCCAATTTAGTTGAGCTGCAATGTACAATTGGGAACACCACGTTTATGCTCCCCGCCTTCACAATCTCGCATTGACCGGCGAGGTGAAGTATGACCAAATAACCCCAAAAAACCTGCGTGGCTATGAAGAGGTCTTCATCCTGCAGCGGCCTGACGAAGGGGGGGCAGGTTATGTGCACATCCATCTCGTGTTAGGTTTGAAGTTTGAAACAAACTGTGTGGTTCTACTGGCATCATCAAGCCAGTGATCGAGAGTGCCTGCTGCTATCAATGATACAGGGCAGATGCCCAGGTTAGGCCTGAGGTCAAATGAAATTGTGCAATTCATAATGAATTGCAATTCGTAATGAATAGCGAAATTACAAGTGTGATTGTACATGTAATTAAATTGCCTTTGTAATTATATTAATGATTGACCACAGGTCTGCTCACGGATGACTGCCGTGGTTGTTTATGAATGTTGCAAATGCGAAGCTTGCTCAGAATGTTACCGGTCCATATTTGTTTTGTGTTTGTTTTGTGTTCAGAATAGCAGCCATGGGTTCCTTTCGTCCAACTCGCATTCAGAACATCCCCCAACTTGGTGAGAAAATAAGCACCGAGACCCTCTACTGGAAGGCTTATCGGGTAAGTTACCATTCATCATGATCATCATCAGCCAGGATTAATCCACTGCTGAATGAAGACCTCCATATTCCGTCTCCATCTCTCAGTTTTGCGACGGAGAACTCCACCTAGTTCCTGCACACCAGCTGATTTCATTTTTCTATCTCACTTGTAGGGCTGTACCTTCATCTTTTTAGAATCAGAATTTGTATTTATACTGATGGAATGCAATGAGATGTCCAGAGAAGATCTGAATTGTTGCGGTCTGCCACCTCGCTCGCAAAGCGCCGGCCACCCTGTTTACCCTCGCGTTGATACAGATTCTCCGTGCGAATCCTTGTTGTGTATCTCTGCGACACCCGTGCCTCATTCATAACGGCGCACCTCGCTGCCGCCGCCGCCATGTCGTCCTCGTACAGAGTCCGGTTCAGATCAACGAGTATGGCGCCGTCACGCACGTGCACTTCTCTCCGACTGCTCCGCACCACTTCGCCGTGTCCGCCTCTACCAGGGTACGCGACCTCCCTCCCCACAACACATCCTGCCACAAGCTCTCTCTCCGAGGATTATCTGGTTACATTATTTATCGTTGGTTGATTGCCTAATGTCCTGATATTTGTGTCTGCTGTGTATTCTGTCGCTGTATACCATTTACTTGATAACGCCAGTGTACTTTTGTGGCCCAGGTCTTCCTTAAAAAAAGAGGCTTTTAGTCTTCGCACTTTCTCGCTTGACTCAAATGAAGAATTAATTGATGTTGTGCACGTGTACAGCTCGGCCTTACTTAGATGAAATTAAAGGATGTTAAATTCATTGATCGACAGATTTTGTGTGTCGCGCACACGGCAGGTACACGTGTGTGTGTGTATAACATTATCAGAGCATGTTTGCTTGCATGTTCTCCACAAGTACGTGTAGTTAGTATAGAACTTGATTCCTTGCAAAAGGTTTATATTCGGTGTTTTAACATCTTAACACCGGTTTTATTGCCACAAAGGGTAAAACCTATTCTTATTTTTTCATGTACAACACCGTCTCACCTGCCTTTCGTGAAGGATTACCGATTGACGGTTTAATTCTGCGTGGCCTGCTCGGTCTCCAGGTGCACGTGTACGCGGCCCACTCCGCCGAGCCTCAGCGCACGTTCACGCGGTTCCGTGACGTGGCCTTCGGCGCGACGTTCCGCACCGACGGGCGCCTGCTGGTGGCCGGCAGCGAGGAGGGGGTGGTGCGAGTGTTCGAGGCGCAGGGACGGGTGCCGCTGCGTAGCTTTGACGGGCACAAGCGGTGCGTGAGTCTCGCGGCTTCGGCGCGGCGGAGTCTCGTTGCGTACCGTATTTGTTTGTATGTCACGCCGTGTATAGCGGACCTTGTTAATCGGAGGCGTGGGGGAAGGCCTACAAACGAACACGCGAAAAGCGGTTCTAAAGAAATTAGTTCTCAATGTAGTATCGTGGTGTGTAGTGTACAGTAGTGTAGTATACAGTAGTGTATAGTAGTTTGTATGTTGAACTTTCACACTGTATATAGCCATCCGTGCTAATCAGGGGTGCGGGGGAAGGACAACAAAATAAAAAAAGCAGTTCTAAGGAAAGGAATTTTCAAACTAGATATAACAGTGCATTGCTCCAGTGGCTTCCTAGTATCGGAAGGGGGAGCGTTTGAGACGGCTGTGGAAGCGTGCAATGCTGCTCGGTGCTCTGACCTCTGCCCCCATCCCCCGCCCTGCGGTGCGAGCAGTGCGGTGCGTGTGTCGTGCTTCATGAGCGACGGGCTGCGCGTGCTCTCGGGATCGGACGACTGCACAGCGCGGCTCTGGGACGTGGCGACCGGCGCGCAGCTTTCGTCCTTCGCGAGCCACGGAGACTACGTGCGGTCGGCGCACCCGTGCACCCTCAACCCCAACCTCTTCATCACCGGTGCGTGCAACAGCTCCTCGCGCGGACGCGACGATTTGCCCGGCTTTAAGTGTTCGCTTCCGTGCCGTGTGTAGGCTTCCGGCATAATGCCTGACGTTACAATGTACGTCCTTGGGAGATCGTTAAGTTCCTAAAGAACCTACTGTTCCTGAAGAAGCTCTCAGCAGCACGTGGAACGAAACGTCTGAAATCGTGATGAAAATGCATCGGTGATTTTAAAATATTTTTCCCCTGAATGCCTAAAAAAAATAATCTGTCATTTTTTTCCCAGTTTCATCCTGATTGTCCTAACGTGCATTATATGAAATGAAATAGCCATTAGGACTTCTCGCAGAGCAGTACAAACGTGTCCTGTATTTCAGCTAATGACCCCCAAAAGCGGATATCACAGAACTATTTCAGGTATCGTTGCAAGTGACCTTGGGTCAGTAGGGGCCAGCGCTTTCCCACCCACCCTACCATATGAGCGCCATGGCCATCACTTGAAAGTCAAAATGGTATAATTCATTCTCGGAGCTGGATTTTAGCCAATGGAGTGGAGAACCAAATTTAATGTGTTTGTTAGGTGACCGGGCCAAGACGAGTGACTCACGACACTGGACACAACCTGGTTTCATCACGGGTGGCTGAAACCTGATGTTGATCCCCGGATCGCAGTGTTGCTGGAGCAGTGCTCTTTCCAACGGCTTTATCCCCCTGAGCTACCCACCTATCTAAATGTGTACTTTGTCGTTGATTCGACAATATTTTCGTAATCGGAGTCACATTTGGGCCACGTGTGGTGACCCTTGCCTGCGACCCAGTTGCTTGACTGGCGATTACTAACACTGGTCAACACACTTTTTCTGGCATAAGGTATTCCAACGCTTGTAAGGTAATTTTGGGGTGCTGATTCCAAATCTGGCATCAGTTTTTGTCTATCCCATCAGGTTTTTGAAATATCAAATATTGCATTTTCAATCAAAACTGCAGAAGAAAAATATGAAATAAATGTGAATATCTACATTAAATTATATTATAAACACACTATCCTAAAAATACAGCACCATATTTTAACACTAAAGCAGTCACTGACTCGCAACAACTTGCAATCATAAGTGACAGAGTTAATTTCGGGTGAAATCAATGAAAATGGGGTATATCGATAGCATAAAAATTAGAGGTAATAGAGCAAATCTGAGATCAGATTTGGAATCAGCACCCTGAAATTAGTCTAAAACAGCTGCAAAAGTCCAGGCCAGAAAAAAACTTTTTTTTGTTGACCAGTGTAGTTCACGTGAGTATTTATTTTATTTGTGAGACTCCCAAACCAGTTGGGCTACGAGCAGACCAGAATACAGCGGTGCACCAAGGGCTGTTGCTCAGATTGTGAACCCAACCTTGATGTCCCGGTGTTGCTCGCTCCGGCAGGCTCGTACGATCACATGGTGCGGGTGTTCGACGTGCGGCAGCCGGACGCGGTGCTGACGCTGGACCACGGCTTCCCTGTCGAGAGCGTGCTCGCCTTCCCCTCCGAGGGGCTCTACGCGTCAGCCGGCAAGTGCTGCCGCGCACATCGCACCATCGTCATTGTCGTTATATAATCGCCGTCATTGTCCCCGCCAACATCAACGTACATCATCGTGATCGTCGTCACAGACCACGCGCACATTAATCGTCGTGATAGTAGCACCCGCTCAGCATTTTCATCGTCATCAGCATTGTACCCCCACACGCACATCATTGTTATTATAATCGTCGTACTTGCACGTCATTATTCTGATTCGTTCAAGAACGCAAATACACAACGCAGACATCCAAGAGGCAAACACGGGTCACGATCGCGTAAAAGTCCCGAGTAATATGCCCTCAAGCCTGCAGTCATTGTCATAATTCCCGTGCCTCAGTGTGTCACATGACAGCGCACGAACGTCGCGTGTAACGGCGCTTGACCGTATCATCGCGTGGGGCTGTCCGTGGGCGCAGGCGGGCGGCTGGTGAAGGTGTGGGACGCCGTGCGTGGAGGGCACCTCCTCGCCTGCCTCCGGCACCACCACAAGACGGTGACGGCGCTCACCCTCAACGGCGCCGGCGACCGGCTGCTCACCGCCTCGCTTGACAGGTCGCCCCTCTGCCCGCGACCCCACGACCCCGCGACCCCTCGCGCTGAGCCACAGGGCGATGACGCATCCCATGACGTTCGGCCTTCAATACCTTGACCACTTTGGAGACAAAGGCCGGCCCGGGCATTGTGCTAACCACACCACCCCCCTCGTGTGCCGTGCAGGCCTTACTGTGTGCTTGCTAACAGCACTTGCCCCCCTACTCGCTGTGAAAGCTATACGGGGACCTTTGTCTTTGTGGCGAGCAGGCACGTGAAGGTGTTGAGCACGACCACGTTCAAGCCGGTGCACAGCTTCGACTACCCGGCTGCCATCCTCAGCCTCGGCATCTCTGTGAGTGCCCCCATACCGCATGGGACTCAATAGACACTCGCTAACAACACTCAAGTGCAACAAAACATTGACTCGTTGATGCGAGTCTTTATGTGTGCATGCCTGTGGGAGAGCGGTAGTGTAGCGGTTAGCACACTGCGCTATGAACCTGGCGACCCGGGTTCGATTCCCGCTCACGGCCAACACCAGTGACGATTATCTAAAACCGGTCCCGGGCCTCCCTTAGGCCGACTCGGCCTCAAATGAGTACCCGGTGCGGTGTGTAAACATCGCCACTGGGGAGACAAAGGCGGTCGGGTGTGGTGCTGGCCACCCACCCCCTCGTGTACCGTTCTGGCCTTCATAGGTGCTCGCTAACAGCACTTGCCCCTACAGTCTGTTAAGGCTATACAGGGGATCTTTGTCTTTGTGTACAGAGTGGTAGTGTAATGGATAGCGCTTTGCTTGAGTATACATACTCTTGCCCCAATAGTCTGTGAGGGCTATACGGGGGCTCTTTGTATACTTGAGTGTATGTACGTATGTTGATCTTCTTTTGCACAGTAGTAGCCAACCGTGGCTGAGTGTACGTGTTTGAACCCAGCCTGCGGTGATGTCGCTATCCCTTCAGTGTCAAAAGGTGGCTGCTGTTGTTGTTGTTCGAATTTGTGTTTGTCTTTTTGGGTTTCCTTGGTTACCCCAGCCGGATGACCAGACGCTGGTCGCTGGAATGACCAATGGGCTTTTGAGCGTTCGGAACCGCAAGACGGAGGAGCGCCAAAAGCCGGAGCCTCGCCGCCGACGCAGCGCCTCCTACCGCTACTACGTCCGCGGAAAGGACTACCTGCCCAAGAAGGTACGGCTTGCATCTTGAATCCCTGGCTGTGATGGTCCCACCTGATGACGGAGACTTGTGTTGCCTCCGAAACGTCGTGTTTTTATTTTATTTATTAATAATTTTAATTAAATTTTTTACCTACGTGACTTTACCGAAAGAACTAAGAGTATAGGTACACTTTGGTCACAAGTGGTGAAGGTCGCTCAGGCAGGAGGTCGGTCAGATGACGTATTGCATGTCTGGCACCACCAAAATCACTCGTCACCAAAGTCTGGATGAACCAAAATACCGCTTCCATACTTCTGACCCATCCCCATTAATGAGACCACGTCATTCCACTACTCCAATTCCCTTCACCAGCTCCCAGTCCAATCCCAGATTAATGTCAAGATCCTCTATGGACTGCCTACATCTCTCCTCTCTTCTCACTGGGCCCCCCCACCCACCCCCACCTCATTGCAAGCACTCTGCTTCAGCTACCAAGGCCATTAAGTTTCATTTATTTTTCACGGTAAAAATAAATTCGATAAAAAACAAGTTTTCAATGCACACACTTTTATTTTCACTCAAAAGTAAAACATTAATTAATTTAACCCAAGAATTAATAAAATTTGATGTGGTGAATAAAAGTTGGTGGTTTCCTTTCTATGTTTAATTTGCTTTATGCAAGCTACCCCACCCACTTTTATTCAGCGCATCAAATTTGATTAATTCTGGGGGTCACGAGAATGTATTTTCTACTTTTGAATGCAAATAAAAAAGCGTGTGCATTGAAAAAACTTGTTTATTACCAATTTTTTCCCTTGCACATGACCAGACCCCTGGAGTTTTTGCGAGCTACATCTGGCCGTGGGGTTATCAGTTGAAGAACCCTACCCTGCTGAGGATAGCACCGCTCGTGAGCACGTCATTTATGCCGACACGGCACACGAGGGGGTGGATTGGCTATTACCACGCCCGGCGGCATTTGTCTCCCCAGTGCTGATGTCTTACACGCCGTGCGAGGTGCTCGCATTGAATCAACTTGGGGAGGGAGCCCCAGAATCCCACGACCGGTTAAGTCCTTCGTCACCAATGATGGCCGCGAACGGGGAATCGAACTCTGGCTGCCGGGTGCGTGGCGCTATGCGCTCCCACTCCCGCGCGCACAACACGCGTACGCACGCACGCACGTGCCCTGCTGTTCACGTGTGTGCATGTGATGGGGGCCAGAGGTCGCAAACGGGTTTGATTCCTTACCCGTACCCGTGCGTGGCCGCACCAGGGTCGCAAATGGGTACCCGTACCCGGCCGGGCACGGGTACCCGTTCCCTACCCGTACCCGTACCCTACCCGAAATGAGTGACAAACGGTTACTCACCAGTGACTCACAGCCTACCCGTACCCGTACCCGGCCGCACCAGGGTCGCAAACGGGTACCCGTACCCGGCCGGGTACAGGTAGCCGGGTATCGGGTAGGGTACGGGTACCCGGTTGCGACCTCTGGATGGGGCCTGGGTGGGGAGGGTAGAATATTTTATCGATTTTTATTTTCATTTACATCGTTGCTTCCGTCACTTGATGTGTCGTTTGCTTTTGTCGTTTTGGTGACCTCGGCTCACTCCTGCCGACAAGAGACTCTGCCCTGGTCTCTTTGAGGTCTCTCTCGTCTGGTCAAAAGCATATCGAACGTAAACGAGAAGTGCGCGCGTTTAGCGAGCCAGAGTGTCGTGCGTCCTCCCGGTTTTTCCTGCAGGGCGATGTCAAGGTGAGCTTCCAGGCGCGGGTTCACCAGCAGAAGTACGACAAGCTGCTCAGGACCTTCCAGCACTCGCACGCACTGGACGCCGTGCTCGAGGTACCAGTGTACACCTACACACACAAACCTGTGCCCCTGCACACACACCTGTGCCCCTGCACGCACAAACCTCTACACCTGCACATACACCTGTGCCCCTGCACGCACAAATCTCTATACCTGCGTGCACACCCCCCAGCCGCCCCCCGCCTCCGCACCACCACCAGGCAAGGCAAGAGTCCTGGACAGGGTAACAACTAAGCCAGGGCTTCAGGCGCAAGGGGAGGGGAGAAGGGGGCCACACAGATGGGTTCACAAACCCCCTCTCCCCGTGTGCTCTACTTACATTTTCTGGCCACCTCGCAGGCCAGTTGCTTTCGGTACTTCACAAACGTCTTCCAACGAACTGTTGGAAATAGATACAGGCATCGTGGTCGGAAAATTTGTACACGAATATTCTCAGGTTGCTTAATTGGAATCATCAATATCAACATTTGCCCATCACTGGCAAACTGATGCGCACTTTGCAGGCTGGCGCAGAGTCGCACCTTGTGCCGCACTTGGACCAACTACCATCGGAGCGGTGGGGTGGGGGGGTTCCCTAGGCTGAAGACAATGTGACTGGAGATAATATTATTATGATCGACCCTTGCCTCCCGAGGCGGCAGATGGCAAGCCGCGTCGATCCCATACGCTCACGCCCCCCCCCCCCCCACCCGTTTGCGTCTCTCTGCTCCGCCGCCACCACCAGTCCCAGGTGGCGTCACGACACCCGGAGGTGACGGTGAGCGTGATGGCGGAGCTGGCGCGCAGGCAGGCGTTGGAGAGTGCCATCGCCGGGCGCGACGAGCAGCAGCTGCTGGTTCTGCTCGCGTTCCTCTTGCGGTGAGGGCGCACGCACGCACACGCTCGGGCACGCACACACACGCACACACGGACGTGCTACTAACAAGGACAAAGATCCCCCGCATAGCCTTAACGGACTGTTTGGGCAAGTGTTATTAGCGAGCACCGATGAAGGCCGGCATAGCACACGAAGGGGGTGGGTCGCCAACACCACGCCCGACCGCCTTTGTGGCGATGTTTACACACCGCACCAGGTACTCATTTGAGGCTGAGTCGACCTAGGGGAGGCCCAGGACCGGTTCAGATGATTATCACTGGTGTTGGCCGTGAGCGAGAATCGAACTTGGGTCACCAGGTTCATAGCATAGCACGCTAACCACTACCATATCGCTCCCCACACGTTCTACACACACACATGTTTAAGTGTACAACAACAGCCGCCACTCGCCACTAACTGGTGGTGATGTCACCGGACAGTTTGTTCCGGGTTAGGTGCACTTTGAGACGGCGTGACGTGCCGAAGGCTCGCTGACAAAGACGTCACGGGACAGACCCGGGTGTTGTGGGTTACCTGCCTGATACGACTGAGAGATGCACCACCTGTGCTCCCCACTGTGCCAACTATGAGTGTACACACACAGTCAAACATACTCACTTTCAACAATACAAAGACAAAGTTCCCCCTGTAGCCTTAACAGAGTGTTGGGGCAATACACCAATACCCGCCATTCACCACTAAGTGACGGTGAAGTCACCACAGCGCCTGTGCCAGGCCACTTGAAGTGTCGAAGGCTCGCTGACGAGGTCTCGGGACAGACCCAGGTGCCATGGGTTGGCTGACTGAGATGACTCATCGTTTCACCAGCTGTACCCTGCGTTGTGCCAGCTTGCTGCATTTTATCCGCCCGGTGCTCTGCTTGTTGTTGTGAGTGTCGCTCCTCTTCTCTACCCTCCGTTGTTGCTGGAGGACGACTGCTTCCAACTGCCCAGTAGCCTCCTTCAATTCACACGCACATACATACAAACACGCACAGATAAAAGAATAACACCTCTACGGAGCAAGTCCTACTGTGCTAATTGCTGCCATTATGCCTCAAATTTGCCAACTTGCAAAAAATGTACATAGCAATCATCGCCCCCCCTCCCCCACACTGCAAAACAAATGACACGACCCTACTTGCGAAGGGTCACGTGACTCGTGATACTTTCCTGGGGTAAACAAGCGGGGTGACGGTAACAATAACATCCGGCTTCTACTCTAATAGGGGGCTGCTGGGGCTGGCGCCTATAGGGGGCAGTGCAGCCCACGTGACTGCGACGTTGGCTTTGTCCTTCCGGTTTGGGGGGTGGGGGGGGGGGTCGAAGCGTCCGCGTGTTCTTTCCATACACGCGTGCGTGGAAGAAACAAGACTCAGCGGCCAGCTGGCTCGGAGGTCAGGGCGCCAAGCTGGTTACCATTAAGTTCCCCGGTTTGGATTCGAATGTTGTCCTCTCCTGCTTACCGTTTACAGGTGCCTAAGCGTCTTGTGTTTATAGGCACCTGTCGATGTTAATTAATCCGTCGGGGGAGAGCGCGCAAACTCCCAAGTGTCTTAAGTTAATAGACGCCCGTTTGTGTAATCAGATACCTGGTCTATGGACATTGGTGTCCAGCCCAAGCTGGTCGGCAGTGACGGCAAAATTACAGAGATAGTTACACAGCTCGATGATTTAAACGCACGCAAGGTCGACCGTACGGAAACTCGCTCGCGTGCAAGCCCAATCGCACGTAAGCCCGAACAAAACAAGAGAATAATATAGAACAAAATAACGAGAATAGAACAATGGTATACTTAGATAGGATGAATTACACTTGCAAATTTGCTGTCGTCAAATCGCTGCCATTTGACATCAAGCATGAGTTTACGCGCATTTCTCGACGGTAAATTCACGAGATTGAGATAGGAGCCGGGTTCTGTCGCGAAACAAGTTCAACTTCTCGGCACAGTTACCAATTTACAAAATCCATTAAATTCTAGGAAATGTAGTTTTTCACGTAAATGGGCTACATTCCCCTCTCGTCCTGTGACTTTTAAAAAAACACGGTTTCGGTTTGACCGTTGCCCACAGAAGTCCCGTAGCGGAGTGTTAGGGGGTACAAGTGGTTGTTTCATTTTCTATCATTGTGGAAATTTCACCAATGTGTCGACGACCGCTCGCTTGCGTCGGTGGTGCTTCTGCTTCGTGTGCAGGAACATGCTGGACCCGCGATTCTCCTCCGTCCTCACCACAGTTGCTGATGCCCTCATCGGTGAGTCCGTCTCCTACCCCCCCCTCCACCTCCGTACCTCGCCTCGCTACTCTCGCCTTGCACCGAAACTCACGGTAGAATCCTATGCAGCGTCACTCAGAATCAGCTTCGGACACCGAAGGTCTCGAAGTGTCGCGGCCTCACGTCGGTTCTCTGTTGCCGCCCCCTCGGTGTGGAACTCTCTGTATCCCTTTGCACATCCGCAACATCGAATGCACTCCTGACTTTGAAGAAACGTCTAAAGGCCTCTGTCTGTTCGGTCAGGATTTCGAGCAGCCCTGAGCTTGGCTCCGCACCTCTGAGTTGTTGAATTGTCTGCAAAATTTGGCACGTTAATTAACATCATTATTAACCGGTGTGTTAAAAACTAGAGTTTCAAGTTGATCTCATTGTTTAAGCAGGTGAGAACTCTGGAGGCCACGGGATGAATCTCATTTGCAACAGTGACCAGAGCCACAAAAATTACAAAGAGCGGTGATGTAAAACCACAATAAGCTGCCACGAAGCAAACAAAATATCGGAGACAAACACGGGCAAAGAGAAATCAAAAGCAAAAACAGCCGTTGTACAGAAGAAGTAAAAACACAGCGAACATAAATCAATATTAAAGGCAACGGTTAGCGATGCCACGCTGGCAGCGGTGCAGAGGCACAATTAACACACGCTGTGAAGAAGAAGCCATAGCCTGAAAACGCCACCGATCATATCGATATTTTTTTTACATTTAAGGCCGCAGTGTTATTGACGAGTGCGAGTTCTTTGATAAATCAACATTGTGCGATCTCATAGCTCGTAAGACCCACAAGGCAGGCAAGGAGACGTCGTCGTCCCCCCACCCCCGTCGAGCAGTGGATTGACAAAGGGGCCGTGCACTTGCGTGCGTCGTGCGTGCGTCGTGCGTGCGTCGTGCATGTGTCGTGCATGTGTCGTGTGTGCGTCAAGCATCCCGTTTGGGCTCCTGTGCCTCCGCGTACCTCGTGGGTAGCGCGCCGCGCGTGCCGTGCCACGCCGACCTCAGTTCGATTGGTCTGGGCGGCGTCTTCTGGTACTGGTGAATCCCCCCGTGCGTTTTCTGCAGCGCATTCCCTGTGGTTGTGATGACGTGTGAGAAGTCGAACTGACTCGCGGTTTCGCGCCACGGCTCGCCTCGCCCCCGGCTTCGGTATCCGGCAAGTGTTTGGTCTTCGGCGAAATGAGACGACCTGCGCCCGTTAACCCTTGCTCCGCTGGGCGTGCGGTCAGACACCGTTTTTTGAATCCGCGAAGTCGGCCACAAGTCTAGAAGAACTTTGTCGTACAAATGTGGAAATGAGACCCTTGATTGTCATCGTCGTCGGCCGTGATAAATCTACTGCTGGATGAAGGCCTCCCTATGCCGTCCCCACCCTCCATCTCTCACAGTCCTGCGATGTAACAGCCGATTTCATTACTCCATCTCCGCAGTGACGTCATCTCGGCCATAATCCCTTCAAACAATGTGTCCCGCTGAAGCCCACTTTGATTATTATTGTTGTTGTCGCTATGCTCGTTCACCCTCCTTCCAAAGTCATTATGATGTTCCTTATGTATACGGGTGAACTGCAGAAAATGTTTAGAAGACTTTAACAAACAAGAATGCAATGTTGCGCTCGCGTTGATTAATACGAGTAAAGCAAACAGAAATTGTTCTCCCGCGCCGCCCGCAGACATCTACGGCTCGACGCTGCACAAGTCGCGGGTCGTGGCGCAGCGCTTCGAGAAGTTGGCGGAGCTCATCGAGCGCGAGGTCTCCTTCCAGCAGGAGCTGCTCGCCGCCATGGGCATGATGGACGCCCTCTTCGCGGCCAACGCCGAGCGCAAGCACGCGCAGGGCGACGCACTGCCGGCGCTCGCCCCGACCCCGGCCGTGCCGGTGCCGGCGACTCCTGCGGTCGCGACATCATAGCCCAACGGTCTCCTCCCCCCCCCCGCTGCCCCCTTCGCGGCCCGTCACCTCCGTTAGACATGAGGCGACACTTCCAGGGATTTACTTCAGCTGGGTCTGCGCTCTGGTTCAGCGGCCCTGGTAACTGCTTGCGAGCCTCAGCAGTTTACGTGTCGTGTTTTCCCTCGCGCTGCGCGGTCTCGAAGTGGCCCGGGGGGGCGGCAACCGGTAGCGTTGTTCGCCGCTGGTTGCAGTGGTTCGGAACCCACCGGCGGCCCCGGTTCATACACTGCAAGTGTACGAGCCGTAGCTACGGCGCCGTCTGCTGTGCAGTGGACGTTCAAGATCCCCTGATGTCATTTGGGTTGGGCCACGTGTTGCGTTGCGAGCGTGTTGCGGTCCAAATTAGCCAACTTTAAAAAAAAATTCTCGCAGAATCCTTAATTCGGTAAAACCACGTTGCAAAATCGCCCCCCCCCTCCCCCTCCACTACCCTGCGTGACACAAAGACCTGAGCCGGTGCTCAGATCAGCTTGCGCTGCGCAGGGGCCAGCTGACGTTATCGCAATGGGGGTGGTTGAGATGGTTAAGATGAGACGCGATGCAAGGTGCTTTGAGTTTCGGAGGCATTTTTGAATCAAGCGTCCAATGAACGCAAATCCTTTTAAGTCGTGCGCCATCTCCGGTCGAGCAGCGGAGCCCGAAAACGATTCGGTAAGGATCAAAGGGCCCTGTACGCATCGGTTCGTCCGTGGTGTTGTCGCGCGCGAGCGTCAGTCACCGGTGCGCGCGTGTTGTGTACCATCGGTGTCCGTCGGATGGGGGGGGGGGGGGTTTCCCAGACCAAGGTGCTCGTGATCCCCACCACGCTGCGGCATGTCCCATGGTTCGCCATTCTTGTTTCTTTAATTTACAAATGACTTCATTTTGCACACACGCGCCGCGTGAGCTGCGTGGTTTTGCATACGTGTCCCGTGCCCTCTGAGTAAGATGCTCTAAATGAAAGATCCTCTTTTACCCTTGATTTGAAGCTTTCGTGACTGCAGGAATCCGTACCATTTGGTTCTTTCGGTAAAGTCACGTAGGTAGAATTTTTTTAAATATTTTTTTATTTTTTTTTATTTTACCTACATAACTTTACCGAAAGAACCAAAGAGTATCATCCTCTTTTACGTCGTGATATGATACGTGTGTTATTATTTATTTAATGCCACGCGGCTTGGCAGGTTGAGCGAGCAGCCCGTCAGCTTTGTGGGGTAGTTCCACAGTGGTGGTGTTACGCATAGCCTTGCCCATGCCATAGCAATGTGTAATTTCCATCACTGCTTCAGGGCTGTAAACTTGGACATTTTAACATATTTTTCGACAATACGGCACACGTCCTGATGTCAAAAGGGGGAGATCTGTATTTGATCAAATACAGATGAAGATCCTCTAAACGACGATGCTCCATATCGAATATAGAATCCTAATGCAGTCTCTTAAAGTGACAAAGGTGTACCCGGATCCATAATAGCATCATCCTCTGTCATGATTTTGATCTGCGTTATCCGCATTGCGTGGGATGTATTTAGCAATCGTCAGGTGCGTGCAGGGTGTTAACGACTTGCGTCTTGGTTGAACAGACAAGATTGGTCAACGGAGAACGGCGTTTTGACACTGGACCTGCAGTTTGAGAAATCGTCGCTTTCACGAGCCCAGCAGCCACGAGATGCGCCGCATTAACCCCGGTAGCGTCAAGACGTCCGGCTATTGCATCGGGACAACTCCACATTGAGTGGCGAGCGAGGGCGAATCGTGTTCCCTAATCCGAACCGTAATAGTTCTACATTATAATTTTTTGAAAAAATATATATTTTGTACTTTTGTCAGAAATCTCACGACGGCGTTCGGTGCCACGCCTTGACATCGTCGTGCGCCGCGATCGGAAGCGGCGGCGGCGGCGTCGACGGCTATCGGTCACTTGCGCACCTTTTAAATCGGTGACGATTATCTGAACCGGTCCTGGGCCCTCCCTCCCCGAGCTCGACTCGGCCTCAAACGAGTATCCGGTGCGGTGTATAAACATCGCACCGGTTACATCGGTGAACCTCGGTGGGGGGGGGGGACACCGTTTTCGATCGTGGAAATTTCACGGCCGCGTCTTCCCACCGCCACCGGCTGTGTCCGCGTGTGTTGGCCGTTGACTCGCCGCGGCTTTGACACCCCCCCTCCTCTCCCCCCGGACATTCCGCAAGGGATACACGCGGAGTTTAGGCGAGCGGTTTTTGTTGTTGTAGAGGCGGGGCAGGGTCTTTTGGTGGGTTAGCCACTCTCGCTTCGCTTGTGAAATCCTCCAGAACGCTGGAATTGGGAGGTAGCGGTGCGTGGGGGCCCCCAACGCCGTGGCCACCGTTTCGGAACCGTTCTGTCGTGCGTTGCGTTGCTCCGCGGTTTTAAAATAAAGTTTAGAACGTTCGCGAACGTTTGGTGTGGTTCTGCGTTTTAATTGTGGTCGGGTACACATAGTGCTTGCGCTTGCATTCGCTGACGAATGCAGTGTCGGTAAGCCCGGTATCCCACTCTCTCCCCCGACCCACCCACTACCCTTCTGCTAATGAGCCAATTATCCCCTCCCCCACTTATTATAATAACAATAATTCCCTTTGTTTATCCAGGAAAGCCTTAGCGAGTATGAAGATCGTTTACAGGAGGCTCCTGCATCGGAATGTTTCGCTAAATCCATTAGGTAACGTTTGGCGTGTTGGCGAATGTTTGGTGCAGATGCTGCTGCCATCTCCCGGCCACCGTGCAGCCCAGCGGGTTTGGACGTTTCACAGAGCTTCGTGATCCAACACAAGCCCTCGCCTCCACAGCACGCGAGACCACAGGCGTGTACGCCATCACGCTCGCGAGCTGAGACGGTTGTCATCGAGGTTCGGACCACGGCCGATGGTTGCGACAATTTGTCAACCCGATCAGTCGACAAGTTATAACCGACTTGTTTTTGTTGTTGTGGTCGATTACTTGAGGCTCCTTTTAAAAAACAGCGGCCGCCCAAAATCATCCTGCCGAATGCGGGAAACCTCCCACAAGCCGCGCCCATTGGGGCGTGGCTGACGGCACCGATGATGTCACCAATCCACGCCCATCACCTCCCGTCCAGCGGCACACAACTTTAACCCCCCCACTCTGCCCAACAATTTTCACTCGGTCCGATTTCTCGAGCTAAGGAACCGATAATATAATCTGTGGGGTTGATCGGTCACTGAACGTAATTGGATATGCTCGGCCCGAGAGCGGAGATGCCACGTGGGGTCTGCAGTCTGTCGAGCGCCAGTGACCTCATAGTAGACTACGCATGGTGGGCAGTCGTCTGTGCGAGATGCAGAAGTTCTGCTTCGCGTATTTGTGTAAGGGCGTTGGATGATGAGAGTATGGGAGCGGTGGGGTAGCGAGTTCGATTCTCGCTCGCGGCCAGCAACAGTAACGATTATCTGAACCGGTCCTGGGCCTCCCCTAGGTCGACTCAGCCTCAAATGAGTACGGTACCTAGTGCGGTGTGTAGTAAACATCGCCACTGCGGAGACAAAGTTGGCCGGGCGTGGTGTTGGCCACGCACCCCCTCGTGTGCAGTACCGGCCTTCATAGGTGCTCGCTAACAGCACTTGCCCCAACAGTTCTGTTCCAGGCTACACGTGGGTATCTTTGTCTTGTGTGTGTGTGATGGGAGTGGTGGATTAGCCCCCATGCAACGTTAGCGGCCACTACACCGCAGCTACCCAACCCAAATCTCGACCGCCTGATTCCCCCACTCCCAGGATTGTTAGTGGCCTGTTCCATTTCCCGGCAAGGGGTGGGGGGGGGGTGCCGGCTGCACGCATGCGTATCGTGCGTATATGTGTGTGTGTGTTCGTCCTGTGATGTGTTTCGTACGTTTGTGTGTTTACAAAGACAAAGATCCCCCTTATAGGCTTAACAGACTGTGTAGGGGCAAGCGCTGTTGTGCCGGCACGGCACACGAGTGGGTGGGTGGCCAACACCACGCCCGGCCGCCTTTGTCTCCCGAGTGGCGGTGTTTGCCACTAGGGAGACAAAGATCCCGGGGCGTGGTGCTGGTCACCCACCCCCTCGTGTGCCGTTCCGGCCTTCATAGGTGCTCGCTAACAGCACTTGTGTGTTTACACACAAAGTTTTTGTGTACACGGTGCGTATACAAAACCACGCAGCTCTGCGGCCTTCATTCACTAAGAAGAAGACCTGGCAAAAAGTTTAAATAACTCGTGTAGAATACGCACTGCGTGTCTATATATACACGGCAGGCAAGCCAAGCGTGCCAGTTGCATGCCCCACGGCTGTGCTGGGCGGAACGGCCTTTCACTGGAGGGCATTCGGTGTACCCCGCTGGGAATGCCCACTCTCTACCCCACCGTCAAGCACTAGAAATGATTTAAAAAGTGAAGGGTCCGTCCCTGAAATTGCTTTCTCACGCCACTGCTGGTGAACAGAGATTCCACGATATGGTGCTCTATAAAGAGCCCCCCCAGCAAGATGGTATTTGGCCTACTCTTCCACTCTGGCCTAACAGCATGGAAGATGTGGGTGTACCCCCACACTTGACTCCACCACACCCAACCCCCCTCGTGTACCGTGCCGGCCTTTCATAGATAGACGCTGGCTGACAGCACTTGCCCCAACAGTCCGTTCAAGCTATACGGGCGGGGTATCATTGTCCTTGTAACATTGGGCATGTGTACGCCTTGTGTGGTTATCTCGTGTATTATCGTAGCACGCGCTTCCTTTGAATGCGTTCCTGTTTTTTAGATGAACTCATTTTCCTCCAATGACCCTCCTTCATCGCGATGCCCGTTCAAACGCCATCTCGGTCTTCTTGGTTCTTTCGGTAAAGACACGTAGAAGGAAAATAATAAAAATAAAACATAATAAAATAATTATGTTTAATTTTTATTATTTTAATAAAATGATAATGTTGTATTTTTATTATTTTAATAAAAAAATAATGTTTTATTTTTATTATTTCCCTTCTACGTGACTTTACCGAAAGAACCAAGAAGATGAATCCCTGCAGTCACGAAAGCTTTAAATCGAAAAACTATCTCGGTCCTTTGGGTTATCTACCCCAAAGTCAAAGTTCCACCGGTTAAAGCTCTCTCTCTCTCTCTCCAGGCTATGTGGTCACCAACAACACTGCCGCTGCTCGGATGCCTGCCCCACCAGTGTTATTATTGTTTACGTGACACCATAAAACAGATTTAGCCTCGCTTCGCGCCCAGGAGGAATGGCCAAACACCATTATTCAGTTCTACATATCGCTCGTTTCGGACGAGCCATGGAACGCCGCAATAAACGTAGCGAGGAGGCGAGTGGTTTTCTCCGGCCGCGTCTCGGAAAAAAAAATCTCGGTTTTTTTTCGTGGCAAACGGAATGAGACTCCCCGATGGAAAATCGTGGTGCGTGATGCCGCCCCCGCCTACTGCTGCTGCTGGGATGAGGTGGGGTGGGTTGGGTGGGGTGGATGGGTTGGGTGGGATGAGGTGGGGTGGGTGGGTTGGGTGGGATGAGGTGGGGTGGGTGGCTGGGGTGGGGACCGACCCAGGGCTGTAGCGGGGAGGGCATTTTCAATTCTCCCCTCCGCGTGGCACTAAAGTTTTGGGCTCGTGGGGGACCAGAGGGATTTTCGCGAGAGGGGGGAGGGAGGGAGGACACGCGGCTCGCAAGGGAAGGGGGGGGTTGTAGGGGGAGGTTCGGGGCTGGACCAGACCGTCTGGTCTGTTTGTGGTGCTCGGACGGGTGGGTGGATGTAAGGGGGAAGCGTGGGGTAACGCTCGGCGGTGCGGGGTAGGTGTTAAAGGGTGTTTGTTCCGCGCGTGGGCTGTATTTTCTTTTCGGGAAATTTTCCGAGATTCTTGCTTCTTTTTCTTCCTTTGCTTCTCTATTCTCGCTCGGGGCTTTTTGGTCGTCGCAGCGGCGGCTACGTGGAGGAGGAGGAGGCGGTCAGCCCACACGGATGGAGCTGCAAACCTCGGGGATCGCAGTCTGCTTCAAACACCCGCAAACCTTGGATTCTCTCGCCATGAACTCGAGCTGAAGATGTCCAACTTTTCCGCAGGTTACTGCTCAGCTAATTCGTCGACTACGTGTACGCTATGATTCATGGGCAGAGCGAGGTGGTGTGAGCCTGGCGTAGGTGTCTTTTGGCAGTGATTCTGATATCACACTCTCTCAAGCTCTTTGACCACAGATGCTAGGCGAGCGTCATCATCTTTCCACTCGCTTCTAGTAAAAAAAAAACTCCCCCACCCGTGACCTCGTCTGTTCCTCCACCCCCAGACCTTCCTCTTTTCTGCCCTTGCATTTAACTCATCGCCGCCGCTTGCAGGAAGCAAGTCACTCTTTTCTCGTTTCACCCCCCCCCTCCCCCGTTTGCATTTTTATTAATTGCACAAATCATCACGGCCACGTGCGCAACTTTTTCACGTGCCGCGGACTCTTACTTGCCCGGGCGTGCCCGGGCAACGCTCTACCTGCGAAGGCAAAGAGACAGAGAGAGAGAGAAAGGTGGAGGTGGGTGGTGGTATATTTCCACGCAACCCAGTCGCAAGACCTCATTGTTATAATTTGTCTTCTTCATTGCGACCGTCTCGACACCAACCCCCCCACCACCGTGGAGACCCCGCGTCCCTGCTTTGCCCCGTGTCTGGCGCTCGGAGCCGGGGTAACGATGTACGAGCGAGGAGGAAGAAGGAGTTACCGCGTGTGTCCATGCGAAGATGACATCGCAGCTCAGGACAGCGTCACCCTCACCAAGGTGAGAAATTCGGGCGGAGGGTGACGGATGGAACCCTCCCTTCGAATGTCACCACCACCACCACCACGCCCGGCTGCCCCGTGAAATAATTGTGGATTAAGGTCGCATGCCCCCCGGAAAGTCGTTGTCTCACGCCCGCTGCTGGTGGATTGACTTTCACGTTTTCGTGTTCGTTTGTGTGTGCGGCTAATGTTGTGCGTCGTCTACTTGTTTACCCAGCGAAGCCTCGTAAAGTTCTCAAGATGTATTGTTTGTCAGGAGAGTTCTGCCACGGATTGTGTAGTAGTGGGTCGGGGGGTGGCGGTTACGCTTTGTCGTGTGTTTCGCCAAATGAAGTAAATTGTGAATAAACTTGAGCAAATTTTTTTTGGAGCAGAGGACGCCGGCAAAACAATGGTCTACTCATGTTTGGATTGCGTCACGGGATCTTTAACGTCCACCGTGAAACAGACGGTCGCGTGTTTCAATGGTTAATAATTATAATAAAACTACTATTACACCACTCGCAGTATTAACCAGCGCGGCCTGCCGGTTCTGACTTACCAAACCCCCTTGCAAACGAGATGCCTCCATCTCAAGGGGTTGTCCAGCTATCATTGTATCGAGATATCCCCTGCACTCGGGAGCGCTGTAGAGGGGACTTGTGGCCTTATTTCACGCCGGCCAGAGGTCTTGGCAGAGGTGGCGGTACTCACACTTTACCCCACCACTGTGGCGAAGTGAACCCGTGGACAGATGGAGCGGTAGGATTGAATAAACGTAACAATATCTGTACAGGTAACATCCCGCACATTTAACCAACATGTCAAAAAAAGAAACAATAGTCAAAAAGAAATGACGTTTCGTAAATTCACTGCTGGATGAAGGCCTCCTTTTCCCCTATGCCATGTCGGTCAAACGGGGGGTGGGGAGGTTGTTTGATCATACTTCACCAATTCTGGTCGGTGTGCGTTCGTGAATTTGGTGGGGGGGGATAGGGGCCCCAGAACCGATTTGGATATCACTCGCTGCTGTGATTCGCTTGTGGCTGCAATTGGTCAGATTCATAGCTGGCGAAGTGGCTCGCACAGCTGCTATCGATGCTGTGCGTGCGGCTACCACTGCATCGGCGCAGGCGTCGAATCAGAACGTTAATTTACACTGGAGGAATCCGAAGAGCTATGAAGTTCTTTTTGCCCGACATTGGGGGGGGGGGGTGGTGGGTCGGCTGGCGACCCCATTTCACACTCCCACTGTTCATATCGCAGTCCAACAAACTCCCGTGAGAATCACCGCGCAAATTGCTGCCTCCACGAATCGCAACGTAGCGGCTCTCTCTCTCTCTACGCAACGTTGCGTGCAAAAAACGGTGCCGGGATAATTACAAAGAGCGGCCGTGTGCGTCGGACGCTTAATTAGACGGCCCAGCGGGTAGCCGGCGAATGTTGACAAACGGTGGTCACGCTGGCGAGGGAGGGGAAGAGAGAGAGAGACTCGGTCTGAGCGAAGGAGGCTGGGCAAACAGAATTCAGAGAGAGAGAGAGGGGCACGCCATGGGAGACTATTTAGCCCTGGAACGCGCGTTCCGCTTTGTAAGCAAACTGCAACACAGTGCGTGGCTTTGTCGATGCCGGGTCGGCCTCAGTGAGGGCTTCCAGTGTATAACTGATCTGAATTATAGGCGTGTGTGTGTGTGGTGGTGGTGGTGGCGTGGTGTGTGTGCGGTGAAGCGGTTTGGTGTCGTCTGGTTTTTACTACGCAGCCCACGGCCCCGCTCACTGCCGTCCAAAGCTCAGGGGTCTCCCGGTCGCGGCTTCCGAGTGAAGAGCGTCGTCTGTTCCGTGGCCTGTGCACACGTGGAACTCAATGCTGCAACAACACCAACACAAACAACACCCACCCCACCCCACCGCCAAACAAACCACCATCTCTCTCGTTTGTGCGTTTGCCAACATTTTTAATTCATCAAAACTGAACTCGTTCGTAAACAGTGGCACGAAGCAGGAGGAGGACAAAAACACATCCACGATGCGCGACTGCCTACGACGTCCCTTGATTTAGAGCGGAGCAAAGGGATTTGTCTTCTTGGTTCTTTCGGTAAAGTCACGTAGAAGGGAAGTAATAAAATAATAAAAATAAAACATAAAAAAATAAAATAATTCTCACGACGTTTCGGCCACAACGCAAGCAGCCGTCCTCAGGTGAAGAGAGAATTATTTTATTTTATTATGTTTTATTTTTATTATTTTATTACTTCCCTTCTACGTGGCTTTACCGAAAGAACCAAGAAGATGAATCCCTGCAGTCACGAAAGCTTTAAATCGAAATCAAAGGGATTTGATTGAGAGCTGTGGATCTCTCGTGCTTTTACACTGCACGCTTTTTTCTGGCGCGGGTGGTGGTGGTGGTGGTGGTGGAAGTTAACGTGAACAGTTTTGGATTGAGCTGTGAACTCTGTACGCCTGAGCGGTTTGCATATGTGTGTATGTGGTCAGGTGTATGTATGTATGCACTGTATATTGAACTTCTTTCGCACCGTACGTATCCAACTGCGCTATTCGGAGGTGTGTGTGTTTGAGTGCCGCATATGCATCGGATTTCTCGAGTTGCTTTGGTTGCTTTCAGCAAGGAAGACGTTCAACATAGTGCATACAAGCCAAACATTTGTAGATTTTGTCCAAACGTCCCGATGCAAGACCCTCCTGAAAACGATGCTTGAGACATTGTTAGGTATTATTATTATATGTGTATCCTTATACATATGCTCGTGTGTGTGCGTGAGAGATGTGGATTGAACTACTTTAGATACGTATGTATATTGGTGATTTAAACCAGATGAGATAACATTGAGTCCAAACGTGTATTTTTGCTCACAAACCAATACAGAAAACGCACTAACAAACAATAAAAAAAAAACATCTGAAAATAATAATTTTCAATCCTGCCCATGCCGTGTTGGTCATGGGAAAATCCAGGACCTTTGCAGATGCCCTGATTGGGAATCGAACTCAGGTGCCAGCATTCATTGCACAGCGCGCGAGCCACTGCATCACCGCTCAACAACCCCAAAGGGTCACCCGGTTACATCCACGGCTGTGGCCACGTGCTCAGTGCCCGGCTCATACTCAGCCCAAAGTTGTCACGGCCCGTGCGTGTCCACAGAGATCCCACGCGTGGGAGACACTAAGGTGGGACGGACAGCTGCTGGTGTGGTAGCAACTCCGACGGCATTGCCTCGCGTGCCAAACCGGCATTGATAGGTGCTTGCTAACACAGTTTAGCCTATTCTTTGGTTCTTTCGGTAAAGTAACGTAGATATAAATTTTTAATTAAAAAAGTGAATACAAATACAAAATAAAATATTTTTTGTTTATTAAAAACAAACAAAAAACACTAATGTAGACTGTAGCCTGGTTCTTAATCGGAGTGAGTGTACTGGCAGTCTATAAAATGAAAACATAAAAAAACACGAATGTAGACGGTAGCCTCGTTCTTAATCGGAGTGTACTGGCAGTCTATAATGTAGACTGTAGCCTGGTTATTAAGCTGGGTTAGTGTACTGGCAGTCTATAATGTAGACTGTAGCCTGGTTATTAAGCTGGGTTAGTGTACTGACAGTCTATAATGTAGACTGTAGCCTAGTTATTAAGTTTGGTGAGTGTACTGGTGTCTATAATGTAGACTGTAGCCTGGTTATTAAGTTTGGTGAGTGTACTGGCAGTCCCAAGTCAGGTCTACAAGGGGACCCCTGTATAGGTTCGTGTGTGGGGTGCGGTAGCGCTACGCTGCGCTACGAACCTGGCGACCGAGTTCGATTCCCGCTCACGACCAACATCAGTGACGATTATCTGAACCGGGCCTTGGCCTCCACTAGGTCCACTCAGCCTCAAATGAGTACCTGGTGCGGTGTGTAAACATCGCTACTGGGGAGACAAAGGCGGCTGGGCATGGTGCTGGGCACTCACCTTCTCGTGTGCCGTTCTGGCCTTCATAGGTGCTCGCTAACAGCACTTGCCCCAACAGTCTGTTAAGGCTATACGGGGGATCTTTGTCTTTGTGTGGAGCGGTAGCGTAGTGGTCAGCGTACTGCGCTACGAACCCGGCGAGCCGAATGAAAATCCCGCTCACGACCAACATCGCTGATAAATATGTGAACTGGTCGTGAGCCTCACTTAAGTTGACTCAGCCTTAAATGAGTAGAGCGCCTGGTGCGGTGTGTAAACATTTGCACTTGGCGTTGTGTTCGCCACACCAACCCGTTCCGGCCTTCGCAGGTGCTCGCTCGCAGCACTTGCCCCAGCGGCCCGTGGGGGCTACACGGGGCACCTTTTGCTTTTTGTTTGAGGCTGGTTGGTATATCAGAGTTCTGATGAGCCTCACCGTGGCCCTGGATAATGGTGAACAGTTTTGGGAGAGAAAACCCATGTTGGGAATGCATGGGAGAAAATTGTTAATTTTGGTTTGGTTGTAAATTGAAGGCATTAACAGAAACTTCCTCTCCGTCAAAAGTTGTCTTCGTAGAAACTCCCCTCTGTCAAAAGTTAGTCTTGGGAACGACCAGTAAAAAAAATATTAAATATATTGTAAAACCTAAATATGAATGCTTTTATTATAGTAACCAGGAATATGTTGGCTCTGGTAATATTCTAAATTTAACCCAGGTTACTCATAGACGGAAAATAGTTTGACTGAATTCAACAAGTCCTCTATTTTCTATGTACACGTTACCTACTGTATATAAATTTTCCCTACTGTATGCACATGTTACGTATATTTGTTTCCAGCCATGTGTCAATCCACTGTTTCAAAAAAAATTTGGGCGAAGTCAACAGTGGCTGTGCTATGGATAGACTCGCCCCCCGCCATAGCACTGTGGAATTTGCACCACTGGCTCTGCAGGGCTATAAACAGGATGGGCACTGCCTCAATGCCTCATTGCCCACGATTATAAGACAAAGACACCCACGTATAGCCTGAACAGACTATCGGGGCAAGTGCTGTTCGCGAGCACCTATGAATAC